GGACAATGATTTATATGTGAAACCAGAGAAGTGCGCGTTCGAAGTAAACGAAGTGGAGTTCCTGGGAGTAGTGGTGAAAGATGGCGAAGTGCAGATGGAGGAAGCAAAAATTGAAGCGGTGAAAAATTGGCCGGTTCCGAAGAACGTGCAACAAGTACAGCAGTTCCTAGGATTTAGCAACTACTATTGACGGTTCATAAAGGACTTCGCCACCGTCGCTCGAACTCACAAAAAAGGAGGAGCAGTTTGTATGGAGCGAAAAGAGGCAGGAAGCTTTTGAAAGGCTCAAAACTCTATTCACGGAGGAACCGATCCTAGTCCTACCAGACACGGATCGAGAAATGAAGATTGAGGCGGACTCGTCCAACTACGCATCGGGAGCAGTGCTCTCCATGCTATGTGGAGACGAAAAATGGAGACCCTGTGCTTTCCTCTCGAAAGGGTTCTCGGAGACGGAGAGAAATTATGATATTCACGACAAAGAGATGCTGGCTATCATTCGTGCCCTGGAGGCATGGAGACACTACCTAGAAGGAAACAGCCGTCAGTTCACCATTTGGACGGACCATAAAAATCTGGAGTACTTCATGACAACCAAAAAGCTGAACAGACGCCAGGCACGTTGGGCATTATACTTGTCAAGGTTTAACTTTATTTTAAAACACAAGCCAGGAGCTTCGAATATGAAGGCAGACGTCCTGTTGAGACGACCGGATCTTGATAGGGGGGAGGATGACAACACGATGGTCCTTTTAAAGCCAGAATATTTTTGAATCAAGGCCATGCAGCAAGGTCATGTCCTAATCGACGGTGCGGAGTCACCCATTCTGTCAAAAATCAGAAAATCAAAAAACTACGATGAATCAGTAGTCAAGGCAGTGACCGAACTAAAGAGGTCGCCAACCAAGGTGCTGAGAGAAGCGGAATGGTCGGAAGAGCAGGATCTCGTACTGTATCACGGAAAGGTGTACGTACCTAAGGATGTCGACATCAGAAGGGAAATCGTAAAATTACACCATGATTCAACGGTCGCAGGACACCCAGGAAGGTGGAAAACCATTGAGCTGGTCTCGCGTAACTATTGGTGGCCGGGAATGAACAGATTCATTGCGGAGTACGTCAAGGGATGCGACCAATGCCAACGAAGCAAGGCCTACTCCCGACAACCGCAAGGCAAGCTTCAACCGAACCCCATTCCATCTGAACCGTGGACAGACATATCCGCGGACTTCATCGTCAAACTTCCCAAGTCGTCTGGATACGATGCGATCCTAGTAGTCGTCGACCGATTCACCAAGATGGTTCGCCTCGTCCCAACAACTGAGGAATTATCAGCCCTTGGGCTGGCTAAATTATACCGGGACAACGTCTGGAAACTTCACGGACTCCCTAACACCATCATATCAGATCGAGGACCCCAGTTCGCATCACAAGTGATGAGAGAACTAAATAATTTATTGGGAATTCAAACAAGGCTGTCCACGGCCTTCCACCCGCAGACGGATGGACAGACGGAGCGAGCGAATCGAGAAATCGAAACCTACCTCCGAATGTTCATCAACCACAGGCAGGACGACTGGGCAGAATGGCTGGCCATCTGCGAGTTCTCACTAAACAACAAAACCCAGACGAGCTCCAGGCAGAGCCCGTTTTACCTTAATTACGGAAAACACCCCCGCATGGGCGTCGAGCCGCGGAAAGAGTCCAAGATGGAGGCGGTGGACGAATTCGCGAAACGAATGAAGCGGACGTGGGAAGAGGCGCGATCCGCATTAGCAAAAGCAGGAGAGGAGATGAAAAAGTATGCGGACCAACGAGTAGGAGACACGCCGGAATACCGAATTGGGGACAAGGCGTTCATCTTTACGGATAACTTAAACACGACCAGGCCGTCGCGCAAACTAGAGCAAAAGAAAATCGGACCATATGAGGTGATTGCGGTGCCAACAAAAAATGCGATAACATTAAAACTCCCAAAAAATTTATCTATCCACCCCACCATTTCCACTCATCGTACTGAGAAGGCGAACCAGCCCACTATCCCAGGGCAACGAGTCCCACCACCGCCACCGGTGCGAGTACGAGGAGAAGAGGAATTCGAGGTCGAGGAGGTGTTGGACAGTCGAATGAGGCGTGGGCGCCTCGAATATTTAATTAGGTGGAAGGGCTACACGACGGAGCACGACTCGTGGGAACCGGAGAGGAATCTTGAGAACGCGCCGGAGCAAATTGAGGCGTTCCGCTCCCGACATTCTGGAGCTCCACGGCGCATCTCTCGAGCTCTCTTTGAACAGCTCGCCTGGAAACCGAAGTATGTATTTACGTCACCAACCTACACCACAAAAACAAAAATATACGAACTGAGTGTGGAGGCGGAAGCCGGCAACGAACAACCCGGCCAGCACCACGACCACCACCATAGCAATGATCCCATTGCATTCGTTGGAACTAAGACTATTCCAGGTGGCGAAGTAGGGGACAGTAGTATTCATATCGAAGAAATAATGTCGTCAAGTGGAATTGACGAGTCGTAAGAGGGGGGTGATGTTATGGTCCGATGTTTCTTTCTTTCTTTTCCAACTATCTTTCTTATCTTATCAGGCACACGATGTATTACGACTTACTACTTACGTCATCCGGGCCGTCTGACTAATGGTCTCAGTCAGCGCCTCGCCGCTGCTGCATGGGCGCAGTCAACAAGCGTCATACCACATGCAGCTGAGCTAAGCATTCCATGGAAAGACGGCAGGATGCAGCATGTAGTTAGACATGAGGACGTAGCATGTACAGTAGTATATAAGTGCCCTAATAGACACCCAGAGACGTTAACTCGTTCTCTTGGGAATACCACTAATACTAGTGCCTAAGTCAGCGTCTTCACTCTCGCTCTCCTCATCTCTTAAAAACTACTACTTCTCTCACTCCTATTCTTGTTGGGTCTGCGTACGCCTTGTTGCGTATTAGCGTCGCCCTAACAAGCAGGGATTTGTGGTGGCTTCGGATGATGTTGTGTGAGAAGGTCACATTGTCTGTGCGGTCTTCGCAGTCGAACTATCCTAAGCAGGACGGGGTGACTCAGAATCCACCAGAACACTCAATACTAGTACAGTACCTACCGTAAAAGCGATCTACCTATGCGAATATGCACGATGTAAGCGTCTCGCATCAAGCCTTTGAATATAAAGACAACTGACCTGCCACCCAGGCTCGATAATATCCAGTTCCGACAGTGTTGTACCTATTGCGTATTGCCTTGGCCCTTGAAGGATGTGGTGCAAAGCTTTGAGATGCAACGCACCTTTGGGGATAGACACAAACATACCCGTATACGCCGTTGGCGCGAGTGCGTTGCTAGTAGTTTTAAGAGATGAGAGGTGAGAAGTGAGAACGAAGACAATGACTTAGGCACTAATACTAGTGGTTATCCCAAGAGAACGAGTTAACGTCTTTGGGTGTTTATTAGGGTACTTATATACTACTATACATGCTACATCCTCATGTCTATCTACATGCTGTATCCTACCGTCTTTCCATGGAACGGTTAGCTCAGCCGCATGAGGTATGACGCGTGTTGACTGCGCCCATGCAGTAGCGGTGAGGCGCTGACTGAGACTATTAGTAAGACAGCCCGGATGATGTAAGTAGCATATTGTAAGTAACTATGCTTAAGTAATACATCACGTGCCCGATAAGATAAGGAAAGATAGTTGAAAAAGAAAGGAAACGTTGGACCATAACAATATCCCCTGATCGTCAAGGATCAGGGGCATTGCTTTTCTCCGACAATTACGGGCGCCTATCGTCTGCTCTATGCTCTACTTCTCTTTGACCTTCGTCCTTCACGTCCAGACCGGGTGTCGGTCGACATCACGGCATTTGGCCGCAAATCAGGATGAAGCAGTATGGATCGCCATTTGGCTTGACTGCGCCGCAAGTAGCCGCGAAGGAAACAAAAAAAAAGACAGACTTCAGTCTCAACGTCCCGGATCCCCACTTGCAGAGCGAATAGGCCAAGGTGGGCGAGTTGTCGGTGTCGAACGCATACACGTGCTAAAATAATGCATCCAGCGCCCTCGCTGTCCGCGAGTATCCACCCCGTAATCTGGCAAAGGTTTATTGAAAGACATCGGTGAACTGAGCATGCCGTACTGTCGACAGTGAGCGACTACAACCCGCCTACTGCTACGCGTCGTGCCTTCTCAAAGTCAATAAAGGGTTGACGTTGAGAGCGATCTCGTTGAAGCCGAGCACGGTACACCATGAAGCAAATCCAATCCGACGTAGGAATCTGGGTGCAGAATGTTGAGAATCACAACTTCACACTACTCAGTACTCAGGGGCTATCAGTGTTCAACTTCGTGACTTCGGTGTTCTCGTATGAACCACGGTCGTTGCTCACTCCGATGGCGCGACGGTATATCCCGAATCACAGTCAATGCAAGTAGACGAGAACTTCACTCGGTACGTTCAACACCCGAGCTGTCTGCTTACTCGCGAGGTTTGTTCACACGATCCCATAGCTTCTCTTCTTTCTCCTAGAAGGCCAAATTGATGGTCGTTGAGTATCAAAAGCAAGCAGCGCGAACAAAGTACTAACGAATATCATGATCAGTTCTGATCGGAACAACCTCATCAATGGACCGCATTGGGCGATGCATACCCTTGTCATTGGACGATGCGCTATCCACTGGCTGCAAGAGCCACTCAATTAGCGAGTCAATTACCCATACCTCAGCGATGGTGAGAACCCGCAGTTGTGATATAAATGATCGAAGTCACGACTCACATCCATGCTTGGAACAGACAATAGATAAACATCACCGCCACATTATCTACCCGACTTCTCCCAACCCTTCTATGGTCTGTTTTCTTCCACGACGACCCGCTCTATAAAGGTGACTCCGGACACGCCTCCAAAACGGCCTTCTACGCACCGAAAAACGTTGTCTTCCAGAATTTCACCCACTGTCCCTAGGGCCTTCAAGCCTAACGAGCGGACGATGTACACCGCCTCCTCAGTCTTCCTCCAGACACTAGCCGATGTCGGCATCACGCACGCATTCGTAAACTGGGGCTCAGACCACCCCGGCATCCTTGAAGATCTCGAGCGCCAGCGTGTCGAGAACGGCCGGACAGCGCTCAAGATCGTCACATGCCCGAACGAGATGGTAGCGCTCAGCGCGGCACAGGGCTACGCACAGGTCTGTGGTAAACCTGCTGCAGTCATCGTGCATGTCGACGTCGGCACTCAGGTGGGTTGCTTGTGCTCATTGGTGCCGAGAGGCTGAGGGTGCCACCCCTAGGCGATGGCAGGGGCGATTCACAATGTGGACAGGGGCCAGACCCCTGTCTTGATCTACGCGGGCGCGTCGCCGTTTAGCATGCATCGCGAACACGAAGGCGCGAGAAACGAGTTCATTATGTGGATGCAAGGTTCTCGCATGACCCCTGTTCCCCTGCTTTGGCTCACATTTCTGATAAGATATCCCGGACCAGGCTGCAATCGTGCGCCAGTACATGCGGAATACGACACAACTACACAGCGGCAAAGATATGCCTTCGGTGATTCGAAGATCTTTACAGATGTAAGCTACCGCCATATATGATCCTTTTCGAACATTTGATGTCTAGTTCTTCTGCTCAGCGCGACAAGCGAGCCGAAAGGACCTGTTTACCTTTGGGCGCGCCGGGAAGTAATGGAAGCCCACATCAATCCTGATGAGATACGTGCAGCACTCGATGCGAAGGTTTGGCCTGCAGTTAGCCCCGCTGCGCTATCCCCCTCCGGTTCGTATACCCAACTCACGAAACCCGCGTACTAATCCGATATGTTTGCAGCCGTATCCACGATATCCTCTGCCCTTCTTTCGGCCAAGACACCTCTGATAATAACATCATATCTCGGTCGCAACAAGAATGCCGTTCCAGTCCTTATGGAGCTGTCCCTCCTGCTCGCCATCCCAGTCGCCCTTTCCTGCCCGTCGGCCGTCAATATCCCCTCCTCCTTCCCCAACACCTCTGTCGTCACGTACCTCTGGAAGGGCACCCACCACCCAGGCCTCGAGACCGCCGACGTCATACTCGTCATACACAGCGATACCCCTTGGATACCCGAAAACACAGCACCCAATGCGGATGCGAGGATTTTCGTGATCGACGGCGGGGACGTGCTGAAGAAGACGTTTGGGTACAACCACTCGACGAATGTGGAGATGGTGTGCAGCGCCGATGCGGAAGTGGCTCTGAAGCAGATTGTAGGTGGGGTGAAGGACGTTGACGAGAAGGCGCACGAAGCCGGCCTGACCAGGACTCTTGGCGGCGAGCTCATCCAACAGCGCGCTGCAAGCCTTGCAGCCGACCATTCGCGAAGGGTGCGCGAGCTAGATATAGAAGAGGATACCTGGCCCGCCGCGAGCGCCGACGGCTCTCCGACTCTCCGCGCCCCAAACGTCATCGGCGTCCTCCGCAAAGCAATCCAGGAAGCAACGCCGAGTCGAGGAGCGAATGTGCTCATCCTAAACGAGGGGATCAGCAATTACCATATCGTCTGGGACCACATGCGCAGCGACGCGCCGGGGAGCCATCTTACCTCTGGCGGCTCGTCGCTGGGCTGGTCTCTCGGCGCGGCGATTGGGGCCATGCTCGCGGAGGAAGCCCACCCCGAAGCGGCGCATGACCTGGTCGCGGTCATCGTCGGCGACGGCTCGTTTCTGTTCTGCGTGCCCAGTTCTACGTACTGGATGGCGCAGAGGCAAAAGACGGTGAGTGGTGGCATGGCGACATTGCTTGGCGGGTCATAGTGCTTATAAGAGCGCCGTATGTCAGCCATATCTGACCATTGTCCTAAATAACGGCGGTTGGAAGGTGCGTGCTGGAACCCACTTCGTCGCGTCATATTGATGTTCGCTCTCTAGTCTCCCAAAATCTCTATGCTTGGTGTTCACCCATCAGGCCATGGAAGTGCCGCTAGCGGTGACAGGCTTAGCGTCGGATTCGGTCCAGTGTGTCCCGACTACTCCCAAGTTGCCGTCGCGGCCTCCGGAGGCTGGGCGTGGGGCAGGAGAGTGGGCTTAGGCGAAGATGGTACCAAGGAGAAGATTGAAAATGTCTTTAGGGAAGCACTGAAAGTTGTGTTGCAAGAGAAGAGATGCGCGATTATTGATTGCGTGATCGAAGCGATTTAATGTTTAGATGTACACTTTCGTGAATCCCGGTTGATCTACATTTGCGTTATTCTACATTATCCCTGTTGTACATAATTATTCGGTCTAGCGATGCAATCAGGGCTCGTTAACGCGCTGCTGCAGCTCGCCTTTCTCGCGGCGGGCTTCGCCTGACAATGGATTGTAAGTAATCTTTGAACTGAGTGTGTACATCGTGAAAATCAACGTACCGGCAGCTTGCTTGGTCTTGTCGCCAGTAAGGGCGCCCACGACGTTGTCTGTGTATCCGCCAGCGCGGTCAACGGTGCCCTCAACGTAGCCCTGCGCCTGTGCGGCCTTGTACTCGGCTTCGCCTGCAGCGTGCTCCTGCTTGCCAGAAGTCTGCCATTCCGTGGAGCCAGTGATGTTGCCGATCTACAAGATATATATGTCAGAGTATACGTGAGCGGCGGGTGGTGGTACTCACGGTCTCGACAATCGTGCCCTTGGTAGAGTGGAACTGGCCGGTGGTCTTACTGCACAGAGAATGTCAGTACACATGGGGATATATTGGGATATCGAAGCTTACTCGGGGGAGTTCGTCATAATGAAAAGGTGTTTGTGAATGGAAGAAGTGGGGATTTCTTGATGAAGAAATTAGAAATTAGATCCACCAGGCGCACTTTTATACGCCTGCCGCGGCTGCGAGGCGTCATAAGGCGTTCGTCCGGGTTGGATGACGTTCGTCGCGCTGAATGATGTCAGTCGACGTCATTGACCTTGCTCGACTTGACAGATTGCCTGTTGCGGTGATCAGGGGCTAGGAGCTAGGGCTTTTATTTGTTTCACCTCACAATTCACTATTCTGCCCCGAGCCAGATAATGGCGTTCTTCTTCGGGCTTACTTACTTGATTTTGATGTGGCCATTAGTATCAGTTGGGCATTCAAGGCGAATCTGGCATTCTTGCATGATTTGTCATTTCTCTGGCTGAAGGACACACACAACGTAAGCCATAAACGTTTAAACAACAAAGCAGGGCATAACACATAAAGGTTAGCTCTGGAAACACACACACAAGACACTTACTTATGTTCCGTTCTTCTTGTACCACTGCTGTAGTGATCCTAGTTAGGTATAGTTGATGCGTCTGCCTCCGGCTAGCCCTAATATCCTTTGTAGACAAGGTTAGTGTGGATTAAAAGAAAATTGACCGTTTGATCTGGCATGAACGTTAGTGTCTGAGCGCGCAGGCGTGTTATCGTTGATGGTGTGGGACAGGCGCAGGATTGGTGAAGGCTGTGGGCAAGCAAGCTGTTTTGCAAAGGGCCGTGGCCTCAGGCCATTCGCTGTCTCAGGTTCAAGGCGGGTGAGAGATGCAGAATTTTTCAGGCAGGAATACACGGGCGCTGGAAATCACCTACGAATTGCGGCCGAATGGAAGCCGTAATTCATCGGTAGGATCGACGGGACGACAAAAGACGCTGACTATCCGTCGGATACAGAGCGCGCGAACACGACGGCGAATACGCTACCGTGCAGGGCAACGGGTAGTGAGAAACTCGGCAAGGCTAGTTATACCGGGCGATCCATGAGCTCGGGAAGTTGAGGCATGCACAAGCATGCACAATATAGTCGACGTGATTGACGTGAGGGGAGTATAAGGGACGCTCATGGCTTCGCTTCGGTGGCCCGACAAGCATTTTTGCGGGGTACTATAGTTATAGGCGAGCTTCTATGAAGGGCCTGGGAGAGGGGCTGTATCGTGCATGTGCACATCGCGGCCCACTCGCGCAAATGATTCATGAACTTGACGCGGCGAGCTTAGTGAAGCGTGGCGTGAGCCCAGGCTGACCCGCCGAAAGCTAACTTTGATAACGGGAAGTGAGGCACATCGTGGTATGTACAGCATGTGTCACCAATCACGCATCAAGCATCCTTCCTCGCTGATGATGTCGAGTCTTTGCCAGGTGACCGTGATGTTTGAACGGCGCCGAGCGCTCGAAGCTGGGCAATTTGGAGGCATCTGAGGTGCTGTAAATCGATTAGAGTTAGCAAGACCAAGAAGTGCGAAGCGGGAAGTAAAGTAAACTGACTAATCGTTCCTGACACCGACGACCAAGGCGAACGCGAGGAAATGAGGCCGGGATATCGAATGCCTGCAATATCCTGTGACCGCCCGTCCGGCTATACGAAGAACGGCATACGCACTCACAGCCTCGTGCCGTATGTACGTGATCGTTCTCTTCATCTGCGTTATCAGCCATTCATCGGTGCAGAAATAGCTAGCGTCTGGAATCAGGATCCATATGTGCTTGCGCTTATGGAGAGAGACTCTCACTCTGCGGCCGCCTTTGCTGGGCAAGCTATATGGGTGAACGAGCAGTTGGGCCGGAGAGATTCTTCCGGGGCTAGGGAGGATGGAGAGCAGCGAGGTGGAGCGGAGAACGGGATATCAGTGTGTATCTAATATCGCAGGTGGAGTACGAGGGCACAGATAATAATAAGACTCATACAGTAGTACATATATATCGTCTGGAGAATTCTTGGGCTACAGCGGGTATGTGGTATGAGAACAGAAGCGCGAAACGAATGACGAGGGTGCGAAAGCTGGGAAACTGTGGTGGCGAGGCGGGTCACATGCATCGCGCGCAGCAAAATAAAGGTTGGAGGTACCATAACCAGTTAGTAAAGGCGACGATGACGAGCCAGAAAGGGAAGGGAAGGGAGAAACGGACCGAGAGAGGGTACTAATCATATCTTATATCTCACTCCATAAGATATCCGTGCTGGTATCGTGGTCCAGCACACACAGGCCGTCGACGACCGAGATCACGGTGCGGTCGAACTCGTACACGAAGACGACGCGTGTAACTGTGGGACAGTACAGCCGGAGCTCCAGGGTCAGCGCGCGGAAGGCTGTCAGCGCGGACGGCGGGGGCTCCCAATGCGTGACTTCCACTTCCACGCACTGCACGCGCGGCAAACGCATCAGCAGCCCGTAAAACTGCAATCGCTTTATACATAGCATGGGAATGGGAGTGAACATACAGCAGCCGTGCGCTGAAAGAGGGTGGACAGACCTCTTGACCGCCTATGGGCAGGACCAGTGTCCCGAGGTACCGCAGCTCGGTGACAGTCGCCCTGGTCCTTATCACGTGCTGCAGGAGATCCATGCTGAAGGTCTCCGTGTATGACGAATCGGCGATATCGAGGGCCTTCAGGCGGCGCGTCGAGAGTTTGATCTTGGAGAAGAGAAGGGACACTTCCGCTTGCTTCTCTTCGAGGCGCGTGCGGGAGAAGCAGGACTTGAGGTGGGTGACAGGGCGACCTGGCACGAGAGCTACAGCAGCTTCGGAGAACGTGCATTCCAGAGTGGACAGCTTGGGAAGCGCAGAGGGGAGAAGACGGATCGGGGAGTCGGTAGATGATACAGTGGGTTGCGGAGCGTGATTGGGGTCTTTATAGTCTAAAATGTAAAGATCGTCCAGGTCGGGCTGTGTGTTCAGAAACGAGACTAGATGCATATCCCAGTCAAGGTCGCAGTGGAAGCTGCGGAGGTGGAAGGTGCAGTTATTGAGTATCCATGCGACGGCGGTGTCCGAGTTGTGGATGTGGATGTTGAGGTACCGAAGGCGGACTGTCTGTCGTAATGCGGGGGCAACTGCCGCCCAGTACTCAGAGACGGACGGCGGTTGGGACGACGCTTCCCCTTCGTCTGACCCTGATTCGCTGGAATCGTCATCGGAACCGCCCTCTTGTTCTCCGGAAAAGGAGATCGTGAGCGCGTCGACCAGTGTAGCGAGATGCGGCTCACGAGCGAGGAGGCCGCACAGAGAGATGGTCGAGCGAACGTTGCGCAGGTACAGCGTATTGTAGAGTGCGCGCTGGGCGACGTACCGAAAGCCTTTGGAGACCCTGCAAAGCATCGCGATGTCGGAGCGATTCCCGACATACTTCACTATATTGCGGTAGGCCTCCAATGACAATTCCATGCACCAGGGATTGGCATAACACTGGAGATACGAATGGGTTGGGCGTTGGGTCGGTGTAGTGGAAGACTTACAGGCACCTTGAGAAGATAACGGATTGGGCCGTCGATGCACCCACTCAACTTTGCAAAGACGGAGAAGCGAATGAGCGAAGGGATGTTCGAGAGGAGGGGCTTATATTAGTTCACGGCGTTCACATAGGAGGAAAAGAACTCACAGTCAAAGGACTTGGTAGATAGCGGTAGACGCGGCGGAAAAGGAAGGCGTTGCAAAATAGTCAATGTCTTCATATGACGGTCCTAACACTATTTATGCAGCGCTAGCCCACACCCCCGGATTTCCTTGGGCAACCGTGGAAACATCCTTCCAAGAGCTCGGAGGCATTTCGGAAGTGAGGGGATCTCCGGTTTATGCAGTCATTATACGCGCCAATTAATTCCCAGCCCTGCTCGGAGGCCATTCTCGGCCACGGCTCTGCTCAACTCTCTTCGTTGTGGTTGACGACGCCTGTCGGGCTTTGATAGCGCGCATTCGATTCCGTTCCTCGTGGGTGCCTCGTGGATGCCATGTGCTGGGTCGGTCTGCCCGGCAAGCAACCCACCCATGGCAACATCGAGAAATTGGATTACAAGAGGAAAAGAAACGCGACGTTGCCGCCCCGGGGCCTATGGCCTCAGGGCAGTCTAACCTCGGGGTCTCTACATAATCAGCTTTCCCAGGTGGAAGAATTAGAGGCGAGGAACCGTACCATCGTGATCCCCTTTACCCGGTCGAGATGTATCGAATGCTCCCCGATCTTCTATATATCTGAGGTGCCTCACGGTGCTTACTGTTGAACGGCGAGCGCTGAAGAACCACCTATTAGCGCCTGACAATATTTTTAGCGTTGAAGCGAATATGATTCCTCTTGGAGAAACTCCTTACAGGCCAGGGGTCATGATCAGTCGCATACCGGATCTACTCACGCCAGGGCAAGCCACTGTACTCCAAATGATGTCGTTGGACCGTAAATTATAACGGGACCGACCATATCGCGGGGCAGCCGCGCTGCATTCTTAAAGTCTGTAATCACTAGCCGGTTTCAATCATTCTGCGTGAGGGGTGAATATTTGAATCCAAGACGCGACCAACGAGTCTTCGCCAGTGTGTAATGCCGGCCTCCATGCGACATGTGGAATGGAGCTGAAAGGAGTCTAAGATTTCCCGGCAAGAATGGGATGATAGTTTGAGTGGAGGGAACTAGGCACGTATACGAAGGCAAAGTCTCGTCCCCTGCAAACCGTATGGGCTGCGGAGGGCGAGATGATCCGCATCATAGGTTGCTATATCAAGATAACCGCAAGATATCAAAGAGAAGAGGTCTTAAACAGCAAAGGCGGCCGGTCTGGATAAGCCTCGGGGGAACAGGTCAATATAAAGTATAGACTAGACACTCAAATTCCCAAACCTTGGCAAGGCTGTCGGACAACGAGGAACCAACTCATCGAAGATAGGCTCTTTCCTTCCATGGATGAGTGGATTGATGACGGAGGAAATACGGCAAGTCAGGCAGCTGCAGAAGCACAAGGAACAAATTCAGAAACATGACATGTTAATGCCGAACGGGTGGGGGTAGAAGCAGTACTTCAGTCGCAGTTATAACGCCGACAACGAATTAAACGTCGACCTAAGAGCTTCGGAACCGGCTGAAAAGAAGTCCTCCGCAAAGTTGCGGTCGTACCTATACAATTACAGCTGGATAGAATGATGACTATGTGGCTTGGGAAAGTCAGGCAAAGGGTGATTTTCCGAGAGATCATATGAGAACTAACCTCTCGTAAAGGCTACTCCAATTTCTCCAACTCTTCGAGTCGCGCCAGCACTACATCCTTGCTTGTCTCTTCTATCTCGCCAGCTAGGAATATTTCGTCGAGTATGGCATATACCTGGACACATTAGCAGGCATCAAAGAATATAATCGGATTCATACTTTGTAGAAGTTGAACACGAGGTCTAGCTCGCACACGTTATCAAAGAAGGTATCTTATTTCGCCGTGAGTCTGAGATAAAGATGAACGGCGAAACACACGCTACCTAATACCTCAACGAAAAGGTGTATCGCCTCGAGATAAGCCAATTCATTGTCGTTCGCATCGACGCAGACGCAAAAGAATAGGCCAGCGTATCGCCGATATACTACCTTGTAATTCCGAAACTGAGGATAAACGTTCTTTAGAGACCAGTCCAGAACGACACGGTAACTCGTAGTACTGACTTCAACAAAGTTGGACTGATATTTCTGATCTCGGGGGGCTATGAGCCGGTGTACCTCTCCACGGAGCCTGACCTAGGCACGAAACGAAGCGACCTCAATCGTAGCAGCAAGTCTGGAAGAGCTTTGCGAACCTTCTCATCGTCGTCGTAGGGAACATACCATTTGGCAAGTCGTGTTTTGCCCTGGCGATTCTGTGCGAGCCTGTGAGCCCCTTTGAATGAGACGAAGAGAAGGAAACTGACCTGTACGAGGATGAAACGTATCATCGTCGTTCATCCAGAACGATCGAGTTTACCTTTTCCACGCGCGGTACCGCGCGGGCGCTATGGCTGTGGACAGGAGTACCCCTTTTCCTTTACGCTTTCAAAAGAACTTATAAATTGCATGAAGAGCCGCAGTTTCTAAGCAACTTTGTTGACAGCACTCGTTCTTTGCACCATTGAAACAAGAGCAGAATCTTGTGTACTTGTACAATATCGTAGAATTCTGCCATTGTGGTGGACCCTGGGTCGGCGGTAATTAACAATATCTATGATTTGTGGGGATCTAATATTACATCTTCCTTGAGGAAGTTAGACATTAAAGGTCCCATGTAGCGAGGGACACAGAGATAGTTGCTACTGAAATTTAGACCCAGCAGGTGAAGCAGGCGTATTTGTTTGTTGTAATCGATGAGCCAGCACGGTCAATCACCCTGTACTGACGGCTTGCCCGCCCAAGAGAACAAGGAGGCCAAAATTCTGTGCCTCTACGCATACCGTAGGTCGAGACCTCGAGTTAAGCACCCACCGATTCAACATCCAGCCTTGTTCCTACGGGACTCCCAGCCCCTTTGTACCTTTTGACTACTTGTCTGGCGCATGAAGGTGACATGCAAGTCCCAGCTCGACGGCCCCAGAAATAAATAGACTAGCATTGGAAATGGTTCAATAACCACGGCATCAATTTCATCTGGGCGTAGTGGGAAAGGACATAGAAGAGTTCCGACTAGTAATAGCACCTGTGAGCGCTCCAGGCATTGTCGCTCTGATTATTAACACTGGCAGTGGGAAAAATACGAATTTCGATCAATTGAGGAACCACTTGGTTTATATGTCTGATGACTGGTGTTAAATGACGGAATCATAGACCTTATTTGTGCAAAGAGCAACCATCGACAACGGACGAGGCATGACAACCGTAATGCACAATTGCTCGCGAAAAGCGCAATAGTGTCCGGCGTACAACGCAGTCCAATTGGAGCGCCAAAGGTCAAACTTGTGACCGAGCCAACCGACAAGGCTGATGAATCAGGAGTTGGGCGCCGGTCGTAAGTAGTGTCAATACATCGGACGGTAGCTGGGAAACCACCACGAAGTAGCCTGATTCAGAATGATTGACAGGTGAAATATGAGTCAATCAAGTGAAGTCATACAGCTGAGATCAAAATGACAGGTGTCGCGCGACGAGCGTGTTGGGCGGGGCACGATGACTGAGTGTGGCCTCGATAATTCGTGACGGCCATGAGTCGTGCAGACATCAGGATCTGTACAACACGAGTTTTATCTCGGTCCGTGAATGATCTCCCTCATTGGCTCGTTCCACGACATCCATGGCACTGGCTGATCAGATTGGCGTCCAGTGGGCACGCGATTTACCTTGATATCGCACCGTCCTCGCCTTCTCGCTAGAACCCGTAGCTTCTAGCAGCAAAGCAGCGGTCTTGCGGCGCTCAACCTGAGCCTGCCTCAGTCATTTCGGGAATATATCGGTCGCACTGGCGTCTTCTTGCATGGCTCTGAGATGACAAAAATATCAAGCTCAGAGGCTAATATGATTTACCCGAACGATCCACTCACCTCCACGGAAGGGTCCTGCTTGATCACTGTCCACAGCGTCCCATTGGGGAAAGCCTCTCGGCATCGTGTTAAAGGCGATATGACGACTAACGCCGGATTCAGAGCATACTATTTTTGGGAACCTATCCAGTCTCAAACGTGAGCAATCCGCCGCGAATCGGCGCCTTTGAGAACCAAGTTACCAGTCAGCTTCGTGTCATTGTCGGATCGATGGAGGTTTCATACAAGCTGCAGGGCTTAACGCTATTGACGGATTGGCCAACGACGAAGTATAAGCTCACAACCGCTACTGTGGCCATTAGCTTCCGAGGGAAGTGGTAAGGCTATAAAAGAGAGGATGATTGTGAGTCGTTCGACCAGCAAGCAACCGTTTGAGGCACTACTAGTCAGATATCAGCATCAATGGCAACGAAGAAAGTACTGAAGACACGTATGTATTCCTTTCGCCCGTCGAGTTCGCCGCCGTCCTTAACGCTTTGGCATGTGTAGCTGGAAGCCCACTAGGTGGTGGCAAGAAGCCCGCCCCAGGCCCAAAGGCTTCACAAACTGGTGTCGTAAGTCGATACTCCGTGCGATGGTCGATAGTCGTTGACGTGAGCTACAGCCAAAGCAGGAAGCCAAAGCAACCGGTGTTTCCCATAGTGCCACGGAAGTACCTGGTAACGCAAAGGCTGGTGGAAAAGCCCCCAAACCGAAAGCAGGGAAATAGAATTTGCAAACCGAGCGCAGGGAGCATATATCCATAGCTTTGTTAACTGCAATGTAATAAGTCATGTGGCTGCTCAGCGCTCAGCGCTCAACGTTCAACTCGCATGCATTTGATCCAGCTAGCCAACGCGAGCACGGTGTTATAAGGAGCAAAGACTATGCAGATCAATTGTGGGATCATGGAGTAGGGTCCTTCAGCATCAGATATATAGAACCTGAAAAATCAATTATGAACCGAGGCTTATCAACCGCAGCCAGTGGTAGAACCTATACTTACGTGATTCACCTGGGATGAATGGGATCGTCGCCATCCTTGCAAGGTAGTTGAAGTTCAAAATACTCCCACGGTCTATGATCAGTCCACGAGGACCTACTATATCTCAGGTGACCTGAAACTGACACGCCGGCGCTCAGGTGGCCACGACGAAACTTTCAATCATCCGCTGCGACGACTCACGACGACTGCGATCCTGTTAATCATCGACATATCACAGAATGGCCGAACCCACAAAGCAGGAAACAGAGCAGGTATTCAAAGTTCTGCGGTCCCAGAAGGGCAACAAGGTTAATATGGGATGAGTACTGAGATTGAGCGTTGATTGCTGATACATTGAATTCGCTCGTGCTAGACATGTTTTGATTGCCAGGCGAGGAATCCAACGTGGTCGAGTGTCACCTTTGGAGTGTACATATGTCTAGATTGCTCAAGCGTGCATCGCAACATGGGTGTGCACATCAGCTTCGTTCGGTGCGTGGTCAATACGCCCCGCCACGCGCAACTGCTAAGCTATAATGGAAATTCTAGTTCGACGAACTTGGACACCTGGCAGCTCAGTCAGCTGCGCAATATGAAGGTTGGAGGGAATACTTCAGCTACGGAGTTCTTCACGAAGCATGGAGGATCATCTTTGCTTACTGAATCTGACACGAAGAAGAAATACTCGAGCCGCATTGCTGAACTATACAAGGAGGAACTGTCTAGACGTGTGAAGGAGGATGCTGCCAAGTATGTGATCACCCAAGCCTACCATCACCCTTCGTTAAATCGTTGTTTAGGCACCCGAAAGGGATCTTTGTAGATGGCGCTGAAACATCGGCCTCCCCAGCCGTTAAAGAAGAGGCTGAGGAGGACTTTTTTACCTCGTGGTCCAAGCCAGCTACCCCCAAGGCCTCCGCGCCGTCGACCCCGCGATCTGGTACTCCTTCGTTAGGTGCGAAGAATGGAACCAGTGCTCCTTCAACAACTGCCCCCGCTGCCCCACGTACAATTACTTCCGCCAATAGGGCCGCCAAGCTAGGCGCAACGCGACTCAACTCTAGTTCCTCCACGACTTCTACAACTTCTACGACGGTCAAGAAGTCCCGGTTGGGTCTTGGCGCGGCTAAGACCAAGCCCGTCGACTTTGCGGAAGCCGAGCGGAAAGCTTTGGAAGAAGCAGAGAGGATCAAACAGCTCGGTTATGACCGACAGAGGGAGGAGGAGGAGGAACGAATCAGAAAAGAAGCTGAAGCAGCTACGGCTGCTTTAGCCGCCAAGGCAGCAGCACTCGAGATCGGATCGAATAAAATCGCTGTTAGTAGCAATGGCAAGGCAGCAACGCCTGCAGCAAAAAACGCAGCTTTCCCAAGATTAGGTTTTGGAGCTATCCCTGGGGCAGCAGCTGCTGCTGCTGTCGCCGCCACAACGTCGAAACCTAGGTACGTGCGATACGTTCGTTTATCGCGATAAGGTTCTGAACACATTTATAGCACTTCCACTATAGTCGACGAATCACCTACTGCGGCACGCGAACGTTTCGGAAATCAGAAATCCATCTCATCGGACATGTATTTCGGGCGCAACGCATATGACCCTGACGCCGTCAGCGAGGCTCAGACTCGTCTTCAAACCTTCCAAGGTGCAACGTCTATCTCTTCCAACCAGTACTTTGGACGGGACGATGAAGACGACTCTGGACTTGATCGTAGCGCCGATGGCAACCTCCTCGGCGATGGCAACCTTGCCAACATCGAAGCAGCAGCGAGGGACGCTGTCGCCAGAGTCCTGGCTAACCCAGACGTTCAGAATGTCGGAGAATCAATCCGTGCTGGCGCCTTGAAGGTATGTTACCATATTGCCTACACTACGTCCTTTCGCTGATTGAGGACGAACTCAAGTTGTCCGACTATCTCGCCCAAATGTCTGAGCGGTAGCTGCTGTTTACCGCATGTTCTACACTTTGATTCAGCTGTTTGCCCCTACACGTAATTTTTGTAATCTGGATTCTGGGTTCAATTTTATGATTCTTTCTTCTATTCTTTTACCCCTCAGCTTATCCGCGTCGGCGCTTTAGACCCTGTTATCTAACTTTTTGAAGTTTAGGATTGAGTTATGGATAACCATTCTACGGGAGGGAAGGCGATATGCCCGTGCATGACGCTCAGCTTATTTCGTCGCACGTATGGGGTGAGCGAACTTGTCTTGGCTTTGAGAGCATCGCGAACATCAAGCTATCTTGCGATCCGTTGAGCGTACGTGGCTCAGCCTCCGGTCACCTTTTATTGACATAGGATCCGGCAGGTGCCTGTTCCACACATTTCCCCAAACCTCGTGGGCGCCGCGTGTAGTGACTCGTGGATGGCTATTCGTTTCACACCCTCGACGTCAGGATGAATGTATCGAACTCCTGCTTTAGATTCCAGGGAATTGGCTGAAAAGTTTACTACTGCTAATTGACCGGGCAGCCCCCTTTGTCGTCACATATACCGATGTTATCCGAACGGTCGAGACGCCTTCCACCCATCTGGAGGAGAGTATCCCAGTATGCGGCGCTGTTGGTTATCAATTTCCGGCTGACATCCCTTGCCTGTCTGGAACTTACAATCACCGGTATACGATCATCGCCTGACCGTGTTGCATCCTACTGACGTCTAGACCACCGTGCTAGCTTCGTTGCCTACGTTTTGGATCTTGCTGGATCTAACGTACGGCAGAATATTACCGATCGCGCACACCACATGCTCGAGGTTTAATCTTCCTCATAAATATGGATCCATCCTCCTATTGGATATAAAGGTTTGTCTAAGCTCAGACCCGCGTCGTGAGCGGCGGCAGGAGTAGCATCCATCGCGGTTAGCAAACATGTTCTCCAGGGTGTAACCGACGTCGCATCTATGGTCGGACACCATAATTGCCAAACCCTGCTCTATCGATAGATAACGTAGTCTTGCTGATGGAGAGACAAAAGCACACTAAGTTACATGCCCCCCGAGCCACCAGGGTCAATCTGGGCCCGCACTCGCACTCTGCCGGGATGGTTACAGGAAATTACTATATGTTCAGACGCCGGGGAGAAGGATGGCAGTACGCAGCGGAGATGGAGAACTGAGATATGTGCCTAAACGGAGAATTTGATGGGTATCCAGCACTGATTAGTTTACCTCATGACATACACACTCAAGTTTTTTTCGTGACTAGGTCCTCCTGTTCATCGTTCCTCCGAGTTTGCGTAGAATGAAGGATAAATCTTGATGCGAAGGGCAACAAAAGCACAGCAAAGACTTGGTGGCACAAATTAAAGGATAAATTATCCGCGTTAGAGCCTCTCGAGGCATGCAGTTACGTTCGCCCCGTATGAAAAATCTAAAAAAACGCCTTGATCATAGCGGGTGGTAACTCGCGGATGGCAGGTGGACTTGACGTACGTACCCTTGAAAGGCTACTCAAACGCTTGAAGGTAACGGAGACTTGCTCCGTCCGTCCTCGGAATCTGTTGGCCAGATAACAGACTGTATTTCCGCATAACCCGGAGGTAGTTGGGCACGACCAAGAGAGGGCTTGCAGAATCATCTGATCACACTAGTTGGTTGCTCGAGAGTAAAATTTACGCTCAATACCGACTCCTTGTGTAAATAATACGCAACGCCTAAGATATAAAAGCAAGGGGTATTGCCTTGTACTTGGTCACAAACGAAAATTCCCCCTCCTGTGAGGTCCGCATTGCCCACCAATCCTACGGCAGCACCCCTCCAACGCATTATTTGCTATGCCACCAGTGTGCCTAGTTGTCCGAGCTCTTTGGAGTCTCCTTCACAAGTACACTGTTCATAGCCACAATAGTGCGTTGGAGCAGTGTGAGCGTTAGATGCGGTCGCTGCGCCGCTCAGTCATGATACGTCTCAGAGATGTTCCTTAGTAGCATTCCCCTCTCATCCCAGCCATACAGCACATGCTTCGAAGTCTTATTGTATATCTCGAGATTCCATAGACCGATATCCGCGTAGAACGATATTCTAATGTTAACGTTACTCCACTCCTCCGTGCACATATCATCTGATGCTGATCTCAAAATTTGCCGTGAAGTACGTAGGTGCCATCCTCCAATGCCCCAGTCATCTTAAAGTAGTATGAAATCGGTCCGGGTATATGGAAACTAACCTCGCACCTACGCAACGTGTCGTGGTTATTGTGATTGCTATTGCTCTATAATAACAGCCATAGCGTCACGATCGTACCAGTGCCATCCCAATGTACACGAGACCTTTGTTGGTGTCTTTGTGTGGCTCAATGGCTGTCATAGAGAGGAGATCGACAACTATTGGACGGGAGAACGTATGCGATCCAGGAATCCGTGTAGATGGAGCCGGGTTGAGCCGGAACCAGTAATGGAATCCGTACTAAGTGTCGGCAGTGTGAGCTGATAATCTTGGCGAGATGCTACAGAATGGAGGCAACATACCTTACCCGTGGACTACTGAAGTAGAGGTGAGATAGACGCGCGGATCTTAGGTATAACGTCAACGCCCTGAGCACGCCTCCGTTGGAAGTGATGAGTAAAGGTATACTGCGGGAGAACTGAGGCCATCATTGGCCGGGAACGCGCGATCATAGCCAATGATAGGCAAAGGACCTAGTCGCCTGACCTTACTTGGTGGATATGTAAGTCGGACAACCGTCGACCAGTAGAAAAATGCATTCATGATATGAGCGCTGACACATCTCCGCGGAAAACATCGTCATTTGAGTAATTCTTCAATAACCCTGTCGTCTGGGATATTCCGTATATTATTTCCGCGGTAGTTGAGTCGTCGGAGAGCATCGACCTTAAGAAAAAAGAACGTAAGTTCACCGACAGCATTATTCTCATTCTGAACGGTTCAAACGTACCACTTTCGCCTTGGGGAAGCCAAGCTCCACGAATCGGTCGACGTGGGTATGTTCTAGTCCTGCTATCGCCACATCATCTCCTGAGTTTAGCTGTTTCGCATCCTTTGATCCCGGACCCCCGGCATATATGTGCGTCCAGTATGTCGCAGTTTCTTCGAAGCTAGCCTTGCTAGTCATGTAGTGCTTAGCGACTTCGGCATCCTGTGGGTCATTCGGCTCGGGCGAGCAGAGCAAACTCTGTAGCGAGATCAATGTCGATTTCAATGTGAGGACAGGGGACCAGGCATCCTTGAGGATATCGAGGCAGATGGCTCCTGAAGCTGACGAGACGTTGGGATGGTACACTTTCGTGATGAATTTCATCTTCACTGGCTGAAATGGATATGACTCCGGTATTACGATATCCTAGGAGCCGAAGCAGGTTGGGATCGAATGCGTGGATCGTGGGTGACATGGTACATACTATCTCAAAGTTACCGCCTTGGTACGGAGTCCCCTCAGGACCAGGGAAAGAGCCTTTGAGATGAAAGGGTGATTCATCGATCGTCTCTATCTTGATACTGGAGGTCTTGTCGTTCTTGCAGTCTAGGGTAAAGGGCCCTTCAGCAAGCGCAAGGTAATTTCCAGTTCAATACTTGCCAGCGATTTCTCTGGTAACGCGTCGTAGGCGAGCATCCATGGTTTTAAGAGGAAGTGCTTAATAGAACGAGAAGATGCCTATGGGCGCTTATTCAAACTGACTAGTGTCGTGTGAGCTTCACCAAGGTACCCCTGAGATACATTGTATTCCCGAGCAAAAAGTTGGGTAAAATTTGAATACATGGACTAAATAACAAGAAAGCACGGAGCGGGGGTTAGACGTATACCTAGAGTAGTAGCTTAAGCTTTGGCAGCCCGAGGTCCGAACACGACGCTGCTTCGACGGTCTGGCTTCTTCGAGCTACTACTTGCACTATTGCTTGCCGTATTGAGCGATCCCATCGGCCCTTTACTACTGGTGGTGGGCGGTTTAGCCTCATTTTGAATGACACTGCTGAAGGAACTGTATTTCGCGGCTCCTGGAAACTCGTGGTGAGCGTAGCTCGGCGGCTCAGAGGTTGTAGGAGAACGATTAATATCCGCGCCAGGTGGTGAAGGCGTACTCGCTGCGGACAATATCGGTGCTGGAGCAGCTGCACCGCGAGTGGGCAGTGTTGCTGCATGCGCGTGTTGTGCACTCGATGGTGGCGTCTGCAACGTGTCTGTGTCTACAGCAGGCAATATGCCGGTCGCCGCGCCGGAGTCTACGTAAGAAACTCGTTGATGGGTTTGTGGAGGTGAAGGCTGAGACCAAGCCGAGGAAGAGGTAGATTCGCTAATCTGTGTCAGCGGCGTTCCATGAGTAAACGGTCTGCTTGAAACAAGCGCTCCGGGGCGAAGATTGTGAGGGGGTGATGTGGAGATAGGGACGTTCATAGATGCGCTGGCCTGGCTTTGGTGGCCTGGGGAACTTCTCGCACCACCCCCAATACCTCCTCCGTACCAAGAACCGTATATTGTCCCACCAAAGTCTGGATTTGTGGTACTCGAGTTAAGTTCGGAAGCATTGATAGGCATCCTGGGTTCGGAAGACGCTGCAGGCATGCGGGCTTGCATCGTAATGGACGGTTCCGTCCTGATGGATTCGATATCGGTTGTAGTAACGCCCGTGTAGGAGTATCCACTCGTCGTCTTCGTGCCGCGATCATACGAACCAGCGGTTGAACGCAACTTGGAACGACGTCTTATAGCCATGTCTTGATTTGATACGGTGCCAGTGCCTTCTATATGAACAAATCGACATTCCAACATCGCAAAGGAATGAGCGGTCCCGCTCTCGCTTACTTAAATGAAAAACTCGCCTCGATCTTTGCCCAACGAGTTCAACGCCGCCCGCCTTCCAAAATAATGACCAAGTAGGAAAGATATGAAGGCAGTGAGCACCAACGCTGTTGCCCCGAAACCAACTGCTAGGCCGAGCGTGAGCTGAGGGTCGGATCGCTTACTGAGCAGATGGGACACTGTAGATGCAGCTTCGTCTACCATGAGGGCTTTCTGCTAAGTGCCGCTATAGTCTGTGCTGGATGAGAGCTTGGAGGGAGGGTGACGACAGCATCAATTCATACGCATTCGCCCGTCAAAAACTAGTACAGCCTCAATGCCTCATGCGTTGATTGGATTCAATACATTTGGAAGCGATTTGGATGTCTGGACTTTTGACGCACAAGTTTGACCCTAGATACAGAACATTGACAGCGACAACGGTGCCTTCAACGTGAACCACTGAGAACGGAAGCTTACGCACCACGTGGTATATAGGAGACATTGCTTCGAACTTGCACCGTGGTTAATCTTCTTCCCCCATGTCAGACAGAGTTTTGACTTCTTTTTTCAGCATACCCCGACCTGGCTCAATTGTATCCCAGGTCCAGCCCCGGGAATCATCATAGTTGGTGCACCAGTTCAACTCTTCTGGTAGGATCAACTTCGTTGGCACTCGTATTGATATTTCGAAGGTTTTTGCCGCGACAACTATAAACCAACCTCTGCAGCCTCGCGTTCTCCACGGGGTACATTGTCATATCTCACGGACTACTCACGCTCTGAACAGCCTCGCCTTCGTCACTTGTGGTTGGTATGTTCCACGGCCTAGCAGGTCCGCGCAACGCAACTCTTTCTTTTTCCTATCAGCATCACGATGGTGAGGGAGATAGTATATATTATAAAGAATCGCAGTCAACCAGTGCGCACTGGCGGTGATCCCAGTGATCCAGACACTGCAGCGCCATGCCAATAATGGACCATGGCCGTTCGCCTGTTCCCTTGTCGCGCGGAGGTCTCTCGGCGGCTCAAGTTCAGCGCCAAGGCTGGTCGAAACAACGTCATTGTATCCGGTTTACCTCGCTCCTTGCTCACAGAATCCGTAAAGTACGTTTTGGAAAGTCTCTTTCCCTTCTTTCTAATCTTGTGAATCGATTTCTCTAGGCTCGAGGCCAATGGCGCCGCAACCATTTCAGAGGTCACCACTTCATCGGTTCCAGTGGACTCAATGGCGCGAAGTAATCCTGATAACTCCCTCAACTTTAGCCGCAGAGAGGCGGCAGAAGCTCTTGTACAGTGATGTAACCGTTCAAGTGCCTTCTTAGATAAGTATATGGAGTCGATCGCCTCACCGGCTAATGTTGCACAAAACGGAGCATCCCTGTTGGAGAAGGCGCTCTCAGAGTTCAGCATTCAAGCGGCTTCTATCGATGGTCAGCTTGCAGATGCAAAGCGTACCCTCAAGTCAATACAGGCACAAATTAGCTCCCTACGGGGCCACGTCGTGTACTCCCCTAATTCGGACGATCTTCAGGAGTTCGAGCATAGCGTGCAGATGACTTTGCTCTCGGAGTCGGAATCGAAACAGAACTCCTCGTGACGTACTGTCGGTGCTGCTCAGGGATAATTCTTGCCACATGCTGACCTCCCCAATCCTATTTAGGTGTCACCGACGCCTCCTTGACCCCGGAGTACGAGTTGCGGGCGAATACCACGTCAGCAGAGAAGCAAGCCACGCTCTTATATAGGGCTTCTATCAAACAAACCACGGGGGAGGTACGTATTTCTTCTTACTCTCCGTACACCTGTCTATTCACCCTCTTCTAGTCCTGGGACGACGTCGCCCTCATTCTAGAGACTGCTACGCCATCGTTTGACACTGATTTACCGACACTAGATCCTTGGATAACAACAGCATCTGATCGCAGGGGATCCCAAACCGACGTCTCCATAATCCCGCCCCCACTACGATCTATCTCAGGCGAAAGGCGTGCCAGGAGTCGGTCAAGGAGTCGGTCAAGAAGCCCGCCGCCTGGTTACCATCGCATGAGAGTCTCGGGAAATCGAAGAGAACGTCCTCGCAGCCCTAGTCTAACACCGTCCCGACCTTCTTGGTACCAGCGCCGGCGAGACTCACAGAAAAGCGTCGCGTCGCGCCGAGTGAATGATTCCAGTTCGTCTAAGACTATGGACGCAATTCCGTTCTCGAACCCTTATCCTTCCTATCCCCTCTCTAATGACAATGCATATGGACCGTATGAATACGACCCCTCTAGACCTCGAAGTCCGTCCAGGACCCGAGGATATCCGATCTCAAAATTCTGCAACAATCATCCGTAGACCCAGGAGCCACTCCGATGACTCTCCATTTACAGATATATACGCTACATATCTCGTACCTGGCAAAGTCAGTGTACCGAACGGCGGGAACAACCTCGACGTCACCATCACGCAACTAGAGCTCGACACCAAACTCACATGGATAACAATTCCTAAGAAGGATGCAAGAGTTCATCTACAGGCAAGCGGGTTCATCAGTCCATCTGAATACGGCCATACTGACGCGCTTTGATTTCAGGCGACTGTCCGAAATGACTCCGAATTTATCTTGATCCCGGGCCGAAATAGTGTCTACGTTGACGGCAATTTCGTCGGTAATGTCTCCCTTCCCATGGTTCACCCTCAAGAAACCTTTGATTGTCCCTTGGGGTTTGTTCTACCGCCATTGCTACACTAGGGGTGCCGACTCACCCTCAGCATCGACACTGCGATTAATGTCAACTATCACCCACAAACCAAGAGGACTTCCAAAGCCGGATTCCTCCAGCGTACCTCAAAGGCAGTCATTCATGAGTACTCTCAACAAGTCACAATCACGAACTCGGGGTCCTCAAGTATTCCCGAACTCATTGTGATAGACCAGATACCCAAAGCCGAAGACCCTCGAATCAACGTTAAGCTGCTGAGTCCGCCCCTTGGCACCCATCGCCACGCTCGAGCTCCTTATCCCTAGCATCACAAAAGCCTTCTAGCAGAATTGATATCGACGAGAACGTTAGCGCTCAGTGGTTTACCGCAAACCCAGGTGCCCCGGAGTTGTCGCCCGCCGATAACGATGGTGTTGATGGTAGACTCTCCTGGCGCTGTTGTGTCCCGCCTCAGCGTAAGGTGCGCTTGCACCTACAGTGGGAAATAAGCGTGCCGTTCAATACGTCTGTTGTTGGTCTGTGACCTTTCTCGATTGGCTAACGTACGCTCCTGTGTTCTGATAACTCACGAGTCGTAGAATATGAATAGTCCGTTCCTGTGTTCGCTGCTATCCCCTATATGACAAATGACAACGTACCTCCTGGTTCAGCACTGCTTCCTTCGCAGACCTCGACGCTAGATGGGAATTCGATTCCCCGTCGAACTCCTATCCGGGAATCAGAAGCTGTCCGAATGTAGGACTCGACGAGCGTCTCGATCCCTTTCAGGTTCAAGATTCCAGTCGCTAGGTTGTTCGATTTCTGCATTAGGTTGAGGCTTCTATTATACTTCATCAATGGACCCACGATGCAGTGCGCGGCACTCTCACATAAGAGGCGTGGCGAAGCTGTTGAGAATACAACCTTTAATTCAGCATGCCCCCTCCAGACCAGCAAGTCGAAATCGATTTCCCTCCTCCTCTCATCCAAGCACCTGCTGTGCCGGTGTTTAACCACGAGAAATACTACCTGGATGATGGGGATTTCTACGTACTGGTAGGCATTGCCGTCCTTGGATAGGGTCTGGCGCTCACGTTTATCGCTTTGTCACGAACAGGTAGAGAACAGCTTGTTTCGTGTCCATGTGCACTTCTTGCAGAGGCATTCAGGCGTGATCAAAGAGGAACTCCAGTCGCCTTGTCCCACCGGAATGCACGAGCACGATGCGTTCGTCTTGAAAGATGTTACTGTGGAAGATTTCGCCCTGCTTCTATGGGTTTTCTACGACAAGTGAGTTGCAATTTGCGGTGAGAGCTGTTTTACTAATAACTGGCTATTTAGGTCGCTCGAACGGCAAGCATCGGGGGACGAATGGCTTCGTATCCTCCTTGCTGCAGAGAGTTTGCGAATGCCGCATGTTCAGAATCTGGCACTCGATAGACTCAAGGGCCTCTCGGTTTCCGCCGATCCCATCTTAATCATCTCCGTCCAACAAAGGTATCGCCATAAGATCAGTCGTGCATGGGCACGAGCCGCATTCGTTCATATTTGTGAACGCCAGGGCCGCCTGACAGTTGAAGAGGGTGAACGCATTGGGATCCTCGCCTCTGTTCTGATCGGGCACGCCCGAGAGGAGGTTCTGCTTCTCAAATCGCAACCTGAAGAGCAGACTGTTCAGAATATTGTCCAGCGCATCATCATTCATGATGACCCTCCGATCGCCCCTCCAAAGTACGAAGTTCTCGACGATTCTAAACCGTTTGAGTGCAATGTAGAAGGCGCAAACGTGGTTGTCTACGTCAGTTACTTCACCGGGCTTCACTCTCATCCATCTAACTTGCGTACAGGCAGGGCAACATAAATTTAGCATCCATCGACATTTTCTAGAACAACAATCACCCGTGATCAGCCAAATGCTTCGTCCAATGACGCCTGGTCAGGATCAACAATGGGACATGATTGAAGGTTCCAACGATACGATCACATTGAATGTCGACAGTTTGCACTTTTCTTGGGTTCTTTGGCTGCTTTACAACGAGTGCGCCGATTATTCTTATTCAATGACCGCAGTCTGATCGCTATCGATTGATCCAGGAGCCTCCTCATAAGCCCGTCCATCGAGCAATGGTCCGCAATCCGTGCTGTTGCGAAGCAATACAAAATGGACTTGATCGGCGCGTATGCGACAAAACGGATGGGAAAGACACTGGATCTGGTTGAGCGCGTCCTATCTATCCAGCGTTTCGGTATGCAGGATCAATGGACCAAAGACACATATGATATATTCTACCAGAGGGAGGAGCCAATATCGGCGGAAGAGGGCGAGCGGTTGGGTTTTAAGACGTGGGCCGAGCTGAATGCGCGAAGAGAACACTTTCTGAGGAACATGTCGACGCAGAAGTCGTCACTATCGGGAAATAAGTTGAAGAAGAAGAAGAAGTGCTCGTGTCGGTGAAAAGTTTGAAGGGACTGTTGTACTTAGTTAGGCCCTAAGTAGATTTAACCAATAAGGATTGAGTCGATTGATGACCAATCAAATTCACACAACTGTACAGTACATCGGATATTGCCGAAACCTTCCAATCAACGGCATTCGAACGTCCCAAATCATCAAGACCGACCTCAAGCTCCTCGACAATGGCCTCCCGCCCAACAGTCAACGTCCGCTCTGCCTCTGGAGGTGGCCGCAATCATGTTCTCGTTCAATGGAGCGTTGCTGATGCACTTTTCACTTTTTGAACAGAGGCTTCATCTTCACTTCCGCTTCCTGCTGTATTGACTGCTCCGATTAGGCTCGATGTCGTCTCGCAGGTTCACAGTGAGTAGATCATATACGTTGCGCAGGGGGAAATCTCTGAAGGTCTTTGTCAGAGAGCATCGCAAAGAACCGCAGGCAAGCATACTCTGTGAGCGAGAAGGCTGGCCACCAAACTAGCGCTGAATCCTGGGGTACTGGTCGCGCTGTTGCCCGTATTCCTCGTGTAGGTGGCGGAGGAACCCACCGATCTGGCCAGGTATGTCTGCCTCTACTGTAGATGGTCTTGCATTCTCAAGACCCCCCCCTCCCCCCCGATAGGCCGCATTCGGTAACATGTGCCGTGGTGGACGCATGTTCGCCCCCACCAAGATCTGGCGCAAATGGCACGTCAAGGTCAACCAGAACCAACGCCGATTTGCCGTAGTTTCTGCCCTCGCCGCTTCTGCCCTCCCTTCTCTCGTCCTTGCTCGTGGCCACCGCATTGAGCAGATCGAAGAAGTCCCCCTCGTCGTCAGCGCTGCCACCGAGTCGTTCAAAAAGACAAAGGAGGCCGTCACACTCCTCAAGGCGCTCCACGCCTACGCCGACGTCGTCAAGGTTTCTAACTCGCGCAAATTGCGCGCAGGCAAGGGCAAGCTCCGCAATCGCCGCCACAGACAGCGCCGCGGCCCCCTTGTCGTGTACAACGAAGACAATGGGATCGTGAAAGCGTTCCGCAACTTGCCCGGTGTAGAGTTGGTGAACGTGAGGAGGCTGAACCTCCTCCAGCTCGCTCCTGGTGGCCATCTCGGCCGATTTGTGATCTGGACCGAAGGTGCATTCGGGCTCCTTGACGAGGTCTACGGAACCTTCGACAAGGCGTCTGTATACAAGAAGGACTACCTGTAAGTCCCAATGTCACTGCCGTTAGGCCTCTTATCTAATTATGCGTCTTCTAGCCTCCCCACTGCCAAAATCTCCAACCCCGATGTCACGCGCCTCATCAACAGCGACGAAATCCAGTCTGTCGTTCGCCCTGCGGGACAGAAGGTCCAAAAGCGCCCTTGGACGCAGAAGAAGAACCCGCTCACGAACAAGACCGTGCTCTTCCGCCTCAACCCCTACGCCAAGACGCTTCGCAAGCAAGAACTGCGTAAGTTCATAACCAGTGATTTTACCGAGTTATGCTGATCTGTGGTGTTTTACAGTCAGGCAAGAGCGCGGGGAGAAGAAGAAGAAAGAGTCTGCCGCCGGCGAGACCTTCTTGCAGACTCTCCACGCTCCTTAATTCTCTCGATTGTTCGTTGTCTAAATGTGACGAAAGTGCGAGGTGTCCATATGCATTACATACATGTCGAGATATGCAAGCAATCCATGATATACGCTTATGCCAACCTACTGCGCTGTTATTTGACTTCTGAGACCGGGGGGCCTCTAAATTCGTGGTTTGTAGCATGAGCAATTGATGCGCCAACGACAGTGCGCCCAACATGATTGTTTGCCGACTAAAAACTTACACGACGCTTCGCGACGCCTCAAGATTCAAACTCGCTAGGGATCAGATTTTAGTATGTGTCCCTTCGGTGCCGCTAATCTGGTCCATTGCTGGTCGTGGCAGCATATGAATCCATGAAACGTCCCTTGAACCCAACGACTATACCCGGAAAAAACAATGAACAGCCTGAATTTCGGGGTGCATTCCGGCGATGTTCATATGCTTTCGTGTCATTTCACGACCTCGTACTTTGTTCGCGCATATGGTTGCGCGCAAGGCACATACCATGTGCACCCCTTTTGGGGTTTGCCCCTAAGACTAATTCACGTGATGCATAGAACTTCGTGATCACACGCGTCCGCTTTTTCAGCCCGACACCTTCCTCAAAATATAAAAGCTCCTTCCAATACTACACCATGGCGTCCTTTCTTCGCAGATTCAGCTCGTCGGCCTCTGTCAAAAATATGTCAGTACTTCCATTGCCAATTCCTCGCGCTTTCATCACTGAATTATTGGGTTTCGTGTGCACAGGTCAAACGTTTTCGTAAGTCTCACAAGAATACGAATGTACCGTTGGGAAAGCGTCTAAACAACCGGATGTACAGTTCGACATTGCAATCGACTCCCAGAATGCGGGGCGCGTAGTTTTCAAGCTGTACGACGACGTTGTGCCCAAGACTGCAAGGAATTTCCGGGAGCTTGCAACGGGCCAGCATGGGTTCGGTTACGCTGGGTCGAGTTTCCACCGTATCATCCCGAATGTACGTACTAGGTGGCTCTGGGATGCGCAATTTGACGGCTGACTTGAGGTTTATGTCTTCAGTTCATGTGCCAGGGTGGTGATTTCACGCGTCACAATGGAACGGGCGGAAAGTCGATTTACGGAGAGAAGTTCGCAGGTGAGTGTTGCTGGATTCAGTGAGTGCGGCAAAGTCCTGACAAGCTCCAGACGAGAACTTCAGCCTTCGCCATACCAAACCTGGCTTGCTTTCCATGGCGAATGCCGGCCCGAACACCAATGGCTCTCAGGTGCGTACCAAGTCTCTTCACGGCTTTAGTCCCTTTCTAATTCCGTATCACCGTACAGTTTTTTATCACCACCGCGGTCACAAGCTGGGTACGTCTCGAATTTCAATTTCTTAATGTCACTGGACTGACCGATCCCCCAGCTTGACGGGCGACACGTCGTTTTCGGCGAGGTTCTTGAAGGAATGGACGTCGTGAAAACGATCGAAAGGGCTGGCACAGCCGCTGGCACGCCCTCGAAAAAGGTCACCATCACCGCCTCCGGTACAGTAGCATGAGGTTTACGGTACATTTATCTAATACTACATACAATACTTAATGAACCGTTGGCGTCGCATCATTCAGTCATCCCTTTTGCTTATGGACCCAGACCGTAGGGCAAGACTGCGTCAGCATTCGATTCTTTTGCGGAGGTACCAACAGGTTGACCTTCAGCAGACGTCGTCGATGTGCCGACCAAACTGGGGTTGGCGTTAGTGGGATGTATAAAGCAAGCAGCATCCAATCACCTCTGCGGTCTCCGGTGGAACATGATAGGCCCTTTGCCAAAGAGGGGGTTCCATCCTTTGATTCCAGTTGTTGGGACGCTGGATCGAGACGTCAAGATGTGCGGTCTTCGATCCCACGGCTTATTACCTTTCCTCTGGTGGATCTCCCTGTGCGACATCCACGCCTTTGTTCTTGGCATCTGCCAGTTTCTTTAACCTAAAGTACCCTCCTTGATCAACAGTGTTGACATAGCAGCATAGGACCAAGTCATACTCCGCCTGGTGCTCAAGAATGGGACGAACCACAGGTCCTATTCCGAACCACGGTTTCCATCCAGGCAGCCCATGGATGAATGGATCGTATTCCCTACACCCCTTAGTATGCTTCATCTTTCTCGGTGAAAGTCCACAATTGCTTACTTTGCAGGAACGGGCAGCGCCACTACGTTGCTGCTCAGGAACGACCAGAGAACAACAGCGAGCACGGGCGACGCTGGTAACATGGCGGTATGTTTCAACAGAATGACCTGGCAAGGTAGCTATTTCATATGCCTGGCAGCTAGCAGGATGCTCTAGTAAGATGTTTCTGGCGTATGGAAGTTCGGCATGCGGCTAACCTTATGTAGGCTGGCTAACCATATTGAAAAGTAGCTGACAGATAGATTGTTTTGTATACTAGTACAACGATGAGTTGGGCAGCGGAAGAGAGCCTCAAGTTTGCTGCGCTTTCCCTTCGACCTTCCCTCCTTCATGTGAGCAAGGCTCTACAAGCGTGTGCCAGTCCGGCGCAGCGTGTTCCGAGGACGGAAGGTGCTCGCTATGAGCGGCTACAGCGATTGGATTGCGCGGTAACGGCACTATGGGCATTCCTGGATTATGCGGCTGAAACGGGGGTTTGGGGAGCGGGTGGAATGTACCAATGTGTCCAGCAGCGCCTGAGCCGGGGTGTCTATGACCGAGGTCGCACAGGTACTCGCTGACTGGATCGTCTTTCGCCTCTACTGGAGCCCCTGCAGTAAATGCTGCGAAGAACATGACAACGCAAAGTGTGAACCATCTGTTCGTATGGGCGACGTATGAGAAACCTGTTGCGAGCTATGCTTTGCAATCACTCACGTTAACTTCACTTGACTCGACAGCATTGTGAACCAGCGACGGGAACAAGTGGTGTGCGTCTGGTGCAGGAACCACGCTGGAGGAAGCGATAGCACTGGTGGTGCCTTACTGGCCCTATTCATGGCTTTTGTAATTATGCTAGCTAGCAATGGTCCTTCAATGATACCTGTCTGCGTGCGTAGGCTGCACTCCTGAAAACTCACCCCCGAGCTAACCGCTGCTCTAAGAGTCGATGGCTAGAATGGTCAAGCTACCGAATGTCGAGGTTTGTCACTGAATTGGCCAATAACGCGTTGAACTTCCTAAACGAAAAGACAAGATTTTATTCACTTTCATATTTTACAAGCCGTGCGTAGTTATGTGGAGCTCAAACTAGAGTTGTTCATAATTTGAGTAAAGAATTGCAGAGCCGCCTGGCCAGCTGGCAGTCCTCCAAACTTATAGGCGGGGACTTCATGGCCTGCACCGTAGATGCGTAGGTAAGAAAATGTTCCGGCGTTCTTGAATTGGCCAGTCGTCTTGCCGCCGACGGCGAATGGTTGGAAGGCTTGTTGTTTGTAGAGAGAAGTGAACTTCGTTTGCAGAGCGTCGACCTAAGTTAATAGAAGACTAAGTAGATGCGGGGAAAGAGGAAAGAGGTGACGGACCATCGCTTCGACACCATTGAAGTTCAAGATGTAATCCTACGTATCAATCGTGAGTAACGTGCTGCCTCGAGAATAGTCGAGCAAGGAGACTCACGGCATCACCATCAAAGATGAGTGTTCTAACTCCAGCGTTGATGACTGTTTCCAAATCAGGACGCGAATTCCTCATCCAATCACCAGTAGCCGCAAAGTTGCTATATACTTTGTTGCTGCTTGTAGTGTAGGTGACCTCGCCTCCAATCTTGGTACGTACAGAGTTCAACCAGGTGGTGAACGAGGGCGGGTATGGGTCGGGATCGGTCGCTAGCACGTAGTAAACCTGTTCATGTATGTCAGAACCTGCTCTTTGGAATAAGGCGTAGCCTCACATCAAAGTTTCCGGCAAGCGGAGAAAGAATGTTGTTGTTGCAGAAGCTCTGCGCTCTGGAGCAAACACTGTTGGTTCCACCAGCGTTGCATTGGGTGATCTGGCAATGAAGAACAGAGTGAGGGTCCACCCCTGTTTAATCAACGATAAGAGGGGCCCCCACCAAGTCACGGCAGCCACCCGATTGCGTCCAGGCAGTGGTAGCGCGGGTAATAGTGGATTGAGATACTAGAGGGTGGTACGGGTTGCTAGCGGCGTATGCCAAGTATCCTGGGTATTGATTAAGGGGGTCCTGGAATAACGTTGGGTCCGCGGATCTGCAAAAGTGGATGAGCTTACTGTTAGGCCATCGCCAACACCTAAGACCTTTAGGTTGAGGGGGAGGCCAGTAACGGTACCCGCTGAGATGGCTGAATTCTGAGCCAAGAAATGACTACGTAAAAGGTGAATGAGAATACAACTGAAGTCAGCAAAGGAGGCACGAACGCAGCGAAGGTGGGTCCGTAGTGTCCACCGTATCTATGATTGACATCTAAGCAGGTTCATTTGTGACGAAAGAAGAACTGAGCCTACGATTCGGTCCAGATAGCCAAGTCCCTCTTTTGCAAAGAGGCAAATCGCGAGTCCTTGAGGAATATTTGAAGGAAGGACCATACGTCCGCGGCAGCTTGTTGACTGGTGCCGACGGTCGTGTCGCCGTGAGAGAAACCAACGCCGACGGGTTGGTCAATGAACAGCAAGTTTGCGTTAGTATTCCATGAGAAAGGATTGTTGATAACAGTCGAAGAATCGTTGGTAATACGGCATGGCCCGTTCTCTTGGAAAAGACCAATCATCGATGAAGATCCAGGCTGGATTGTCAGTCAGCAGAAGTAACAGACAAGTGGGTCGAAATGCATACTCCTCCATTGAACCATAGTGCGAGGGGAGCAGTGTCTGGATTGTTGCGAGCGGCAAAGTACCAGAACCTAGGTCCATTGTGGTTAGCCTTGAAAGAGAGTACGACAAGGAAGCATCTTACCATATACTCTTGGTAGATGTCAAATCGCCGTAACCAGAAGCTTGGTACACTCCCGGGGTCGTTTCTAGGGGAAGATGAAAATATCACCATTTCTCTGCAGTGTAAGGTAGATTGAATAAGCTTACCACAAACACCATGATTCTCAACGATGCGCAACTGGCCGGGGGTGGTGGCAGCTGGCGCTAGGACCGAGTCCGCCTTTTCGGTGAGATTGAAGGTTGCGGGTACGCCACCAATCACGCCGTCGACCACAGGTATCTGTCCTGCATCTGCCAAGGGGATGAGAGCAGGAAGAATCGCTGCCAAAGCACCGAATATCATGGCGAATGAGTTTGAGAACCAGAACGTTCGGGGGTTCAGACCCTTTGACTCAAACTCTTTATCCTGAGCATCGCCTAGCGGAAGTTCCAGCGAAGCACGATTGATAGAACAGAATTCGTAGAAGTGTGCTCTGTCTGACGGTGTGTCCTAATCGGATGATGCGTGCACATGCACACTGGATTCCGTCATGATAAAGCTTGATGAGGACAAGTTCGCGTGTGTGTACTTGTGGCACAATACAACCCTCGTCCCCTCAAGATACAAAGTGCGAGTGCATCTCCTGTACGAAGCCCGAGGGCATACCTAGGAGAAATACATATCTCAGTGTGAGGGAAGCATGCGTGTATCGAGATTTAAAAAAGAAGCAGCACCTAGCGCGCGGAACGGGTGAGCGTTAGTTTGAGATGGCGGGTCTGCTTGATATACTGATAAGTGATCAATGGAGCTTCTGCCGTCGTAGTGTCTGTCTCCTCTGACATGTGGTGTCGGATATACTGAGGAGGAAGAACACAAGAACCACGCAAAGAATTTGTATGACCCACGCTGAGTTCCATAAAAATAGCTTTCATACGGGTGGCTGCAGCATATCTCACTAAGAGCATGTTCGCACTAGATCATATGAGAGGTCCGTGGAAGGCGGGCGAACAGCTAGAGAACCCGTGGTGATAATCAGCAAGCTTGCCATTTATTTACGACGTTTACAGATCTTACCTACTGTCATCGCTGCGGTACTCAAGCTCAAGCTCGGACATCTATCCCGCTTTAGATTAGGCGCCCGTCAACGATGCTCTTCCGTTGGTACTTCAAGAGTTCGCCGTCGTCACCAAACCCTGAACTTTGTAGACGGAGTTAGCTGGGCAGCTTTGTAGTTTGGGGAATACAGGGTCCTGCAACGGCTACAGTACTGCACCATTGCGGCGCGCAAGGTCAAAACGTTGCATAGCTTCGAGCCGTTGCTCTGATCCCTGGAAGATTATCTGACAGATGACAGCCCCGGCATTAGAAAAAAAACACAGCCGATTTGATACGACGTACACAGTCCTTGCTTTGTGAGTGGCAATTGGCCTTTCGGCGCGTCAAAAAGAGTCATCGGACCATTGTCGGACTCAATGTGTTGTCAGGGTTGCGGACTGATCACATGACTTACCATAGCCCTTAGTGTGGGAATATGTGGGAATGCGGGGTAGTTCCGCCCATGGGCTCCCTTCATCCTCCTCTCCTCCATACCACCACCACCACCTTACCACCGTTGAATGGACATTCCAGCGAAAGTCGTAAATTCTCCAAACACCGTAGCTTCGTCGCCGGCAGCCTTATTTCTGAGTGCTTTCTCATCACCATCATCTTCGTCTCTCTCGCTTTCCAATTCCTGGAACACACTCCCTCCGCCTGATTCCCAAGGCCAAGTCATCAATGGATACACTCTGGGCGCCGTTATTGGATACGGCTCGACATCAATAATCCGGTTAGCCACGGCTTCTTCTGGTGGCGTTGTCGCATGCAAGATTGTCAAAACTCAGAACACCCTCGCGTCGAAGAAGTCTGCTTTGAGAAAAGAGGCAGCGATCTGGGCCTCACTCTCTCATGAGCACATTCTACCTCTCTTTTCGTCTCATTTCAGCCCTCTGCCTGCATCAGGTCTATCGTACGCATTCTTCTTTACGTTGTACTGTCCGGCCGGGACCCTGTTTGACATACTGCAGAATGCTAAGAGTCAACGCCGACAGGATGACAGCGCAGCTGGAGGGCTGAATCAAGATGACGCCGGTATGCTCTTTAGACAAGTCGTGCGTGGTCTGCGATATATGCATACTGTCGTTGGTTATGTCCACCGGGATATCAAACTCGAAAACGTGCTGGTTGATGAACAAGGTCATTGCCGCATATCCGATTTTGGGATGGCGAGGCGAATAGGGAGCAGGAGTGGACACGCAGATAATAGTTCTAGTGACGAGAGCGACAATCTGGATGACGAAGAAGACGATCTCGAGAGGGAAGATGCGGGTATAGTCGCCCTCACTCGTACCGCATCTCTCACTATACCCAGCAGCTCACAGATCATTCCGCCCCCTCACTATCACATACTCAATCGCCATCTGTCTCTCAGGCGGAGTTCGCATTCGCTCCATAAATCCAACACTCTTCCCTCCCGCTCACGTCGGCGGACCACTACCGATGTCTCGAGTGATTCGCCTTCACAAGGGAAGGTTCAGCCGGGATCACTGCCATATGCTGCGCCCGAACTCTTGATGCCTCCCTCCCTTTCTCTTCCTTCCGCACAGAGCCATTCGAGACGGCTCCTGGACGGCGTGAATCCCGCCCAAGACATATGGGCTCTAGGAGTTTTGCTCTATGTTTTGCTCACGGGCCGTTTCCCATTTTCAGATGCCTTCGAGCCGCGCTTACAGATGAAAATCCTGAACGGTAAGTTCGCTGTTAATCTATAAACATAAGCTGACATGTTTTTAGGTGCATATGATATTCCACCGGGGATTGGGCGTGCCGCCGAGAATGTGCTGCGTGGTTGCCTATCGAGATCAATTCGATCTCGGTGGACAGTTGACCAGGTGGATGAAGCAGGATGGGGCGTTGGGTGGGGCGTTGAAGGGGATCGTATTCTGGAGGGTGTTGAAGCTGAGAGAATGGATGTCTGTTGGCCAAATGTTACTCCGACTGTCGAGGATGATAGTTGTAGAGGAGATGTGGACACACGCAGACACAGATCGGCAAGCGCTGATAAGCATCCGTTTATATCCCTTGCAGATACGACAGACGACCTTGAGGAGATGAAGAAGCCCATGTTGAAGTCTTCTGAGGTGAGTGGGGATGGAGCGATTGAGCGGACCAGGCCTTGCCTGTCAGCTTTGCATAATTCGATTTTCCGTGGCTCCTCACCGAGTGCGTCAAATCTGAATCCGTCCCCACCAAATACGAGTTCGAGACCGAGGAATCTATGTGGTACGTTACCTCAAGTTTTCAGCAGTCATAGTCGTTTTCTGTAACAGCCTTTCTTTTCAATTTGTGCGTGTAGTTGATATTTTGTCTCCAACGTCCTACCACGGCCAAGAAGATTCCGATTCGGCCTTGGTTGTGTCGCCGCTTCCGACGTCTATAGGCATGTTGTCTCCGCTTACGGAGGGCGTGGAGCAGGACGGCTTCACTTCGAGCGATATCAATTCCAGGCCGCGAAGTACGGTCCATGACGCTCCTCGTACGCCTCGTCGCCGAATTGCATCCCCACTGCCGCTCTCTCCCCTCAAGGGCTTTGTCGCGCCAGTCACATCCCCTGTATCCTCTCTTTCCTTTGCAATTCCGCTCTCCTCATCACGGGAAAGATCTACCTCCCCTTCCCCGGCAACCTCCTCCACTTCTCCCAACAACGAGTTACCGCCGTCTCCGCTGCTCTATAAGGAAGACAATGGGCCACTTCCCGCCCACCTTTCGATATCGAGCACCTCTTCGTCTCCTCACGTTCCCCTAGCAGGATTAGGCTTCCCTCCTGTCACCGTGGAACGGGGCCGGCCGTTACGCAAACACTACGCTGCTTTGTCTCGCTCCCCCAGCCCAAGCGTGCAGCCCAGAACGCCCTTGGACACGGGATTCTCTGCTACGTTCAATGGAGGGCAAGGAAACACTACTCGCCGGTCGAGCGGTAGTGGCGGTAGTGGAACTCGCGCGAGGTCAAGGGCTATGGAGTCTTTAGAAAGTTTGCAGGAGAAGGACGCTTCGAGGGGAAGATCAAAATACGTGAGGTTGCGGCCGCCAGGGGATGTACTAACTTCGTTCGAAAGCGGGATCGAGATCATGTCCAGAAGCGACAGTGGCAGTAGTGATGCTGTTGTTGGGATGGAGCACGATCGGATCCGCCGGCCTCTGGGCATGGATACGGTGAACGAACTGGAAGGCTGGGCAGGAGAAAGAGCCTCGATGGCGGACAGCAAGATGGGCTCTTTGGCAGCAGGGACTACTGCTTACGACCGCCTATTTTCTCCTGAGAGGGGCGTCATCTCGCCTGAGAGAAGTGGAGGGACCTTGGATACCGATGCCTCGTCACCACTATCGAGCGGTCGTTCTGCATCTCCTCGACACCACCATTCTTTCAGTTCTGGTTTTGGGTTCTTCAAAGTCGAACGTGACAAGGGGAGCCGACGTGGACTTGGTGATGACGGCGCCATAATGGCAAAGGGCAACTGGGCATCGAAGGGCAAGGATGCGGAGGCTGATAGGAACTTGGACATCAATGGAATCGTACGGAGTCGGAGAGCGGGGAGCACGCCACCCACGTCGGTTTATTTCGCAAAGGATTCGCACATCCATTCGTTGCATCATTTACGTCCGCAATACGCTCACCCTCACCCTACGACACACCATTGGACTCACTCGCACACCCCTGTGTTCTTAGGGTCCAATCATCCACAGAAGCGCGATCATTTCGGCCTTGGTTTGGCTACGACGCCGATGCCTCTTACGCCCGCTGGTATTCACAGTGGACAGCATACACCTGTTGCGGCAATGAAGAGCGCCCCTGCCCACGCTGTAACGGTGAAAGTGCCCGTTTGGGGGAAGGGGATTGGAGTGAGTGGGATGAGGAGCAGAAGTCTCGGCCCATTATAATCGAGGACCATAGTATTCGATGAAAGGCCAGTTTCTCTATGGAATTTGGGCGAACAGATGAAGAAACGAGCGTAACGCATATGCTCCAGGTCTCAACTTTCGGGGAAAACGCAAGACATTATCGTTAGGGTACCCTTGATTCGGATGATATCCTTGTATCTATATCACTATCACTGCAGCTTTTCCCTACTTCTGTAGTTTTACAGCATCCTGGTTTCTTCTTGCACACTGATCTATGTTGTTTGCATACCCCACATCTATCTTCCTCATATCATTCTCCAATCATCGTTACCTAGTTCATGTATCCCTCCTATCATAGGTATATTAGGTACAATCGGGCCATTTACTATCACACAGTGTCTAGTCTTGACCAACAGTAAACCCGTCACTAATGATATCTTGTTCGGCGTCCTGCGCACTACGCCCATTGTGCGCCTTACTAACGGTTCTTGGAAAGCCAACGGGCTTCAAACGGCTAGACTTACTCATGGCGCCATTGCTTGTGAAAGAGACGTGATTGACCGTGGCAATTGGACCCCAGGTTCCCGTCTGATAGACCCTCCTCTTGGACGATATGATTTGGTTAAGGGATGGGGTGGTCAGCGGGGATCGCTAACGCCATTCTACGCCGGGCTATCGCAATTCAACGATTCCAAATATATACAGTGTTGGACCGGCCAATGGCGCGGTTTTTGGTGCACGTCTGATTGCGACGAATTCCCGTTGCCTGTTCGGGCCAAATGAGTGCTGTTGAGCATGTACAATATAGACACACCTACTGCGAATTTCTCAGATTTTTATCTGGTGGTTAAAGCTATGTTCTGACCTCGTTCACGAAACGGGGCCTTCACCACCCAATGGCGCAGTGACACGGCCGTCACAACTTCCCCAGATGGGTGTTCCCCCGTATTATGTCAGCATGCACACGCTCCTTTCTCCCATCGCGTCGCGGTAGCCCATTATCATCCAAGATGCCTGACGCGGCTCCTGCACTCGGTGAGCATCCAAATTGGCTCGCTTTTGGCTGTTGTATAACCTTACTGTCCTTTCAGATACAATCACTACACATCTCTCCCGGCAATCTGATGCATCTGTGACCTTTGAAATGGAAGAAAGCAGCTCATAATGAAGGAGATGGGTTATCGGAGAGCGCTCCAGGTGCGTGTACTTATTGTATTATCTATCCAGCTCATAATTTTACTGTTAGTAGCCGAAAAAACAGCTTGCGAGGCGGCCTGCAACTGCCACTCACTCGAGGCACAACTTGACATGCAACGGGCATATTCCAGGACAGTCGACGAAGAGCTAGACGATCGCAACGCTGAAATACGCTCCCTGAGAACGCACCTTGAAGACACTCGCTAAGAACTGAATCAGCTGCGCCAACAAGTCATCAAGTGGGGACGAATCCTTGTAGACCATGCGCGTCTGGGCACTGGTCGCGGACATATGGACTCCATCATCACCGACAGTGATTATGACAGCGCGCCGTCCCACTATTGCTCGAGCCCCTTCAGTACACAGGAAGAGTAGTAATGAATTTTTGTTTTAATTATTCTATCTATCCATTCAGTCCTCGTCATCGTCACCATCTGACTCAGAGGTCTCTCCATCGTTATTATCTGCATCTTCTTCCCCATTTGCCCCGTCGTTAGCATCCTCGTTGTCGCTGTTACTAGAGTTTCTTGTGACGAACGTAGGTTGAGGAATAGGTGGAAGGAGACGATCCTTGATTTTTGGTTGTGTCCAGGCAGGTCGACGGTGTTCGCGCTTCGCTAAAGCCTGTTCCTCCTTCCACTCCTCGAGATCAAGCTGGAATTGAGCCCGGATAACCTTATTCTGCGCCTTCCGCTCCTTCTCCAACTCTTTCCATTCCTTCCTTGCCTTGCTTTTCTCTGCCCGTGTCGCTCGGCGCTGCTTCAGTGCTTCCTCTTGATCCTCCGCGGCCTTATGAAAAGCCTCAACACGCCTGAGAAACTCACGTCCTGTGAGTAAGCGAGGAAGGCCATCGCCTACCAGTCTCCCCTTCTTGTTACGCTTTCGACTCTCCTCATGAGCCTCGAGCTGTCCACGGACAACGTCACAGTAAGCACCGTTTAACACCAGCATTGACTGCATTGTAACGAGCTGATCTTTTCGCTCCTCATTTTTCTCGATGAGCTTTCGAAGCGCATTCTGAAGGTCGGCTTCAAGAATTGTCGATGGGATAGGCTCGAGAAGGTCCTTGTATCTTGGTTTCCTGGGTGAAATGGTAATTGATGCATATGGTGCTAGCTGAGACGTCGATTGGATAGGCGATGATGAGACGAGGAATGATGCAGATGTTGAGGCCTGCAGGCTACTGACGACCTCGCGGGTAGGGGTATCAAATGGATTGGGTGTAGTGTTATCAACAGAATCGTGAGTGTCGTCCGATTGACAAAGAGCCTTGGTGCGCTGACAAACACTATACAGCATATTCGTTACAGCGCGAACTGGCGTACTTGGCTCAACAGGCAAATGACCTCGGAAGGATGTTTCTAGGCTAGGCGCCATCATCTCTTGGGTAATAACGCTTCGGTCGAAGGGGTAAACTCCGGTTTTACGAAAGGCTGCTTTGATGTTCTCAGGAGTTAAGGCTCGGATGTGCGCAGCGCCATAAATAGCCAGAAAGTTGCTCTTGTTGAGACGCTGGCGCTTCTCCCGTTCAAACTTCTCCTTCTCCTACCCCCAAAAGGTCTTCAATGGGCCGAAGACAACGACATCAAGGCCCTGATATACATGTGTGGCGTGGGCGGGATAACATAAGATGTGAATCCGATGTTTGCGAGCAAAAAGGAGGAACGCAAGGGTGTAATGTGAGTTGTGGCCATCGACGATGAGTACGCATGTCCGCTCATTAGCTTTGGCCTTTGTCTGCTCATGGAAATCCTTGATAAATTCCACTCCAATCTCACCGTCCGTCCAACCTTTCTTGGAGTGTCCCAAGCTTATACCATAGTGAGCAATTTAATCCTTGTGTACACTGATATGAATTACTCACGAAGCATCAAGAGGGTTATCCTGATTCCATCGGACCTGGTAATGTGTCCCTTTGAATATTACGACGGGCTTGATGGAACTGCCATCAGCGCAGATGGTCACAATGACGGTAGTATTGTCTCGATTGCCATCAGATTGCTGATGTTGTGTTGTTCTGCCAGCCGGCCCAATTACGCGCTGCGTGGAGCCATCAGACGGCTGGAAACCAGATTCGTCGCTGCCATAAAGATTCTCCGGCAGGATGGGCTCAGGTGGTGATGTGGATCTGGAAGCACTGGTTCCCGCTGTTGGCGCTCTTCCTTCTGTGTGCTGTTGATGTTCCTCGTCGTTGTCGTCTAGCAGATCCACCTCCTCAGTCACTCCAGCAACAGCCGATGCTAATAGGTCTTCATCGAACTCATGATCCATCTCGCCATTCAGTGTCTTTTCCAGCAGGTCATACCATGCTTCATTTGTATTGGGGTTCACTGCTCGCCCGCGCTTGTTATCGAGAGAGTGGCTCCAATATCGACAACCGTGTGCGATGTTTTTCGGTGAAGCGATCCGTCCAATTCTTGCCGACTCCGGTTGCGGGAAAGGCATCGCCAAGACGTGCGCAAACAATGCCATCGACATGCTCCTTGAGGCGCCGGTGGGTCAGAGGAAACCCGCGAAGCGCCATTTCTACTGCGAAGCGAATGACGATCTCCACTTCGCCCTCAAGAAGCCAACCTCGCATTGCATTGGACTGGCTCTTGGGGATGCCGCCATTCACAAGCCTTCGTAAAGTTGAAGGCGCGAGTTCCACTCTAGGCTTTTTGGTTTGCCTCTCGTAGTCGTCCGCAATGAGTTGACAGACTTTTTCGTAACCTCGGGGCTTAGGAACATCTGGGGTGGCCTGAAAAGTATCACCATGTTCCTTGCGATAGAATTCCACGGCCTGTTGGTAAAGTTGATCTTTGATCTTCCGCTTTTTTCGTGTCTTTGTTGTCTCTGGCTCTGCGCGGCCGGGCATGGTGAGCGAGGAAGGGATTTTTACGATAGGGGCTACGGGATTGCCATCTTTGGGTTGTGACAGTGACAACGGTGGTCAAGGCTTGGCAACGACTAGTCCCAGCAAAGCTTTGTATCCTCATGTCCACACGAGGTTCCAAACACTGAACCAATGCTGCCAGAAGGTCGTAAATACTCTCCTAGGCTTGCCTGCGGGGTTTTAGTGTGTTACGCTCTTAAACGAAACAGCACGAGACTGATTAGTGGCATGATTCATACCAAATTGGGCCTATCGCTCCAAAAAGATTTTTTTTGCACGCCGTACATACAACAGACATGTATACTATGTTGCACATAGGTTACGGAGATCAATGGCAGTCTTCATAAAAAGTTTCAGAGTTAGATGTGAGGATTTACGGCCGTAGGAGCCGTTCATGCCATTGGCCGGTGCCACACCATTGGCCGGTCCAACACTGTAGGCTGCGAGGTCATGAACTCTCGATCATGAAATACTGGTTCCTCCTATCCTCCTACTACTAGTCTCCTAACCACCACACTCCACCACCCTCATTAACCGACTGATGTTGCCCCACTTCTTCTATCCAAACGACTCACAGAGCGGCTCTAGCCCTCTGTATCCCGGGGTGTACGATGTCCCTACTGGAACAGAGTCGCGTGGTGATAGGGAGCAACGCCGCGACACTCGCACCAGTGGAAAGCAGCGCGGTGTGCAATCAGTTAACACTGCGAACTCAAGTTCCACGCGAATCAGTCCCAAGAGACCCTCTACCTAAACCATTAACTCTGTCTTAGTGAGCACTAGTGCTCAGCCGTAATGGTACGGGTTGTCATTTAAAATTGTCGGACTCGGACTCAGCATCTGTCTCTAGAGTCCGCAGTTGCGGATTCAACTTGGGTGTATCGTGTATCAAGGCTCGAAGTTGTTCATATTTATTTCTGCGGATGTGTATCCAAAATTTCTATTCAAGGCGCTGTATCATGTTGTAATATATAGAGTGTACGTGTATCGATTCACAAGTCGTTATTCGCAGTGATGGATGGAGAGTCAAGCAAGTGGCTTGTGATACAGTGAACGGGAAACAAGTCGAGGAAGAATCCTACGACACGGGCTTGATAATAAATTGTATCTCAAGTAACGCCGTAGAAATCTGAATGGGCGAATCTCCTCTACGTTGCGCTCAAGGGCCCACCGAAACACACCAATATTATTATAGCACCGAGCTAGACGCCAACCAAACACCCTAAGAGTTAGCATACCAAAATTAAGCTTCGCCGAGCCACTGCCATGAACCCGATTTCGCCTGAGACTCCTTCATCAAACCTCCGCCAACTCGCCAACATAATCCTTACAGAATCAGGACGTATCATACCCTACAGTCGACACACTTTACGAGAAAGAAAGCCGGTCTGAAAGATTCACGATCCAGCCAGACGCCGCCGCCGACCTAGCGAGCAAGGAAGCATTCGGGCCTGCAGCTCGTCGCGACCTTAAGCTTCCGTGCCTTGTCTTATTGGATCGCGCGAATGCTGTTCGTGAATTTGTTAGCGAGAGTTTTTCGTGTGCCATAAGGATCGTGGTGGAAGCCAGTCCCAACGGGCTCCATGTCACGGATATTGCATCCAAAGTTGGAGTCGAGCCGATAATCCTAGGTACGCGTCATATGCCTCTCCAGGGTACGCAGGATTTGACCAAGTATGTATCCTCAGGTCGCTCAATTCGCATGTTGGCGACTTACTACGTTTTCCGCGAATTAAGTCATCTTCGCAGTGGCATGGCGGGACCTAAGCAGACGGCCGTGTATCTAGGCGGAGCTAGTCGTCTTCGTGGATAATCGGGTCTCTTCGCTGGTGCATTCAGATTCAGGGAAAGCCAACGTGGACACCTTGTGATCACTCAAGTACGTGTAGGCTTGGCTCTTCTCGTTGATCAAGGTACCTGAGCCGTGTCTGTAGGAAGAAAAGAGAGGGTGGTGCCCAAAGCCACGGCATCACCAACGTACAGAGCGATAAATATACGGAAACCAATGGTATCTCAGCCCTTGTTGAGCAGTGGTCAGCCAAGATGCCACGTCTGTAGGTCTAAACGCGCTCACCTCAGTGATAGCATGGGCGAAGTCTTTCAAACCATCCGCCTACCTCCCCGATATCGTCCTTTCCGATGATTACCCCAAGTCGGCTTTCCAAAAGGCTCTCCGATTCGATGGATCGATGTCTTTGGTGTATGCAAATGGCGATGGTAGCCTGGACGAATCTCCGCGCTCACCAAACTAACCCGAAAGGTAAGGAGTAGGAATAAGACACGGAGTTGTGAGATATATGATTATCTTGCCTTCAGGGCTTGAATGGGAGAAGCTTCAGCCTGGCTGGGTGATAATTGACGTCGGCGGAGGAAACGGCTCTGAAGGATTTGCGATTGCAAAGAGAGTACCCAATGTGCAAGTGATTGTCCAGGATCGAGAACAAGCCATTCAGAACGTTACTATGCCGGTAAGTCATCGGTGATCACCACTGTATTCCTGTACTCTGCATCTGCCTCTAATAACGAGGAGTGCAGACCTTGCAACGCGGACCCGGACAAGAAGGAGCTGCGAGAGTCTGGGCGGGTTAAGTTAAGCTTGAAGGTGCGTCTTCGAACGATAGGGAGCGAAAGGTGTTACGATGAATACACTTAACACGAATCACATTTCTAACTAGGCCAAGACTTTCTTTGAGAACCAACCGAGTCACCTCACACAATGCATAGAAGCGAGTCCCGGTGTTCTTCTTGCGCCTTGTCATGCATGACTGGCCGACCAAAGAGGGCGTCCATATTCTCCGGACACTGCGAGAAGCCGCTTCACCAACGACGAGGCTCGTGATCGTTCTCCAATTTGTCTCCTAGTACGCTGGGTACGCATGCTCGATCCCAAGGCGCTGGGTGAGATCGAAGGAGCGACCCTGATCAAGACTCCAAGCCCGTTACTCGCAAATCTAGGAGAGGCCACCTCGGCCGCCTACATAACTGATTTCACCATGGCAGCGCTGCTCATCCCTCAGGAAAGGACGTTGGGCGAGTTTAAGGGATTGGTCGAGGGATACTATACTTTTTGACTTGAGCAGCCGAGATACTTTCAAGGACAATGTTCAATGTTCGACGTTCAACGGCGAAGTAACGTGGCACGGTGGAACGATGGGTTGTCCGATCTAGTGTACATAATCGTAATCGTAATCGTAATCTCACCTCATCTCGCCTCCTTCCTTCCTCATCCTTCCATACTTCCACGTCGACTCTCCAATATCTCCAATATCTTCAATATCTTCAAGGTTCACCGCCCAGCACTCTCCAGCACAGACAATCCTCTAATCCTCTAAATGATCCCCGTTGAATGTCGCCAGCCCTAACCCCCCGCTCTTTCGCGTTAGGGCGCCTCGCGTGTTTTGAAGTATCGGTTAGAAAGCATCGCCGGTGCCGCCATCGTGCGGCATAGGCGCTTTGTGGTGAGGGGGGTACGTTATGCGTCCTGAACGTACAGAATCCCACAATCAACACTCGTCACCATAGGATTGAACGTCGAACACCCACCCGTATCTAGAACGTGGACGACATCCGTGTCGTCTGCGTCTGCACCTGCACCTGCACCTGCACCTGCCTCTGCACCTGCACCTGCCTCTGCACCTACGCCTGCACCTGCGTGCGACTTCCCCGAGCCTCGCGCGCGCGTCGCAGACCCGCCTAGGGCGACGACCCTGGATCCCACCGACGCCATCGCGTGCCCCCATCGCGCGCGAGGCCCCGGGCCCATATTCCGGAACACGAACCACCGCCGACCTAGAAAGGCAAGCACGCTCGTCAGCACCACCTTAACACCCAACACTCAACACCACATCTTAACACCCAACACCCGAGCGAGCGAGAAATCGCACCAGTTACATTAAGCGCCACAACATCGCCCAGCTCCCCCTCGCTCCCCCCATCCCGCCCATCCCGCCCCCCGACGACGTACATCACATCCCCCACCAAAGACGACGCGTGTCCCGCGCGCGGCGCGGGGATGTAGCCGGTACACGGCAGCGCGGTCCACGTGCGCGAGCGCGTGTCGAATGCCCAGGTGTCGTGGTAGTGGTATGTCCCGTCCGTCCCGCCGAATCTGGGTATTGGTAAGTTGAGAAGTTGATAAGTTGGTTAGTTGATGACATCCAAATTCTGATCAGAATGAATGGGGCAGGGGGGCAGCGGGGCAGAAGGGGAGAGGGGGAGGGGCGGGAGGTAAGAGGCACACGTACACGATGACATTATCGCCGTGCGCAACGCAGGAATGGCCGCTCCGCGGCGCCGGCCTGTCTCCAGCGACAGGTTCGCAGAGCTCCCAGGCAACTATGCACATGCATGCACCAATTTCGATTTCAATTTCGATTTCAATACGACCATCACGTTGGACATTGGGTGGAAGAGCAAAAAAACACTGGGACGCACGTGTGGTGAGGGTGAACACCCAGATATCGTTGAAGAACGCCCCGGTGGCGTGGCCTCCGAACACGAAGAACGACGCGCCGATCGAGGCAGCGGCGTGCCCATACCGCGCGCTGGGGGCAGGGCCGTGGACGGTAGCTCGTGTCCATTCATGGGATACTGAGCAGAAGATCCACGAAACGCAAACGCAAACCCAAACGCATCAACATCAACATCATCGCTCAGAGCGACGAGACGGAGATCAAGGATGGTTTCGCACCTAGATCGAGGAGGTACACCCCACCGTCCAACACTCCTGGTTTTGATGTTGATGTTGGAGACGCTGATAGTATTGCTTGTGACCGTGGTTCCGGGGTATGCGCGGTATCGATGTGCGTCTGTCCGCCCCATATAACGAGTACGGAGGATACGATTGCCCCGGCGTGATTGACGCGCGGGGACGGGACCGCACCCCCAGTCTCGAACAGCGAGGCTGAGATCGAGAGGGTGTCGGTTCCATCGCTGCTGTTGCCGCCATTGCTCTCCGCGAAAGCGGCGCGGAGAAGATAGACGTCGTTTCGAAGGCGCCCGTCTACGAGGCCGCCGAAAAGGTACAGATCGCCATGCGAAGCAGCGACCGAGTGCCCGTAGCGGGGGAAAGGCGAGGGCGACTCGGGCGACTCGGGCGACGCCGATAAAGGTGACGGCGGCGTGGGGGAGCACGCTGGGCCAGGTCTCGAGGTGTTGGTGCTGACAGTGGGCGGGAGGAGTTGGAGGGGGTGGGTTGACCAGGGGTATGGCGCAGGCGTTTGTTCGTGAGCCAAGTCGAGGGAGGTCGGGGTCGGATTCTTCCCGAAGAAGCGGGGGAATAAGTTGGAGATGAAAGACATTTTCTGGCGGTGCAGCGAGCTTTCGGACTAGAGGATATACGTATGTATACGGGGACAGAGATGTAGAAATGGTGCTCGAGTATGACTGGACCGTTAGCGAGTGGTGGAGAGATAAGTGGGAAATGCTATGAGTAAATATATACATACGTACCTTTAACCCAGTTGCCCTTCAGTTTCTGTCCTGTCGCCGCAAAGGCAATTGTGGGATCAATCGATCATATCGGTGGAGCTGCTTGATCGTTGCGAGAACAACGTCCTGCTTCGACCTTGGGACATACGATGACCTATTAATATGACTATGTGTGATGCTGACGACGCCATTGTTGATGAGAGAAAGATCCAGAGGCTACCATTGATCTTACTGTGCTTCCAGAAGTGAAAACCGATTGGTTGAAATGGTTTGATCAGAGTTACACACTTCAGGTCAGCCATCAACAGCATCGACGGCGCCGTAGGGACCACGATACGGCGCGGCCGTAGTATACTCCCCTCAATCAGCGTCACATACATACGGCCGAAAGGATGGAGCACCGTCAGAACGGAGAGCAGAGGCCTGCAATGAGGCGAGAAACAGCGGAATTCTGAGGAGGGAGGAGGTGCGCACGGCGCCGAGTGGCAGAGAACCGAGGGGTATATATAGGGGTACACAGGGGCGGCGTGGTTAACGGATGTTACACGAACGGCATGAACAAGTGCATATAGGTTGTTTCTGAAGGGAATCGATTGCAAGAAAAGGGCGCTGCACGCTAAGTACAAGCAGCACAATGAGGCCTTTCAAGAAGGTCAAGCGGGTCGCGGCGGGTGTCCCACGCCCAAGTACCAACAAACAAATAGCCCGTGCGCGTCACGCGTATCAGCCCCCGCGACGCCGCGATTCTGTCTGAGTCTCTGCTGCGCTGCTCTGATGCGGCACTCTCACCAGCTGCCAAGACCGCTATCGCAAAAAACGCAGCCATCCACCAGCAACAGGCAATGCAAGCCCAACTTTGCGTCATCGATCCACCAGTCATCGTTGTTCAGGCCGCGTCGCCCATTTTGACGCAGAGCTTCTGCGCGCCGCAGGCGGCCTCCGCGAAGAGGCAGGAGCGCGGCCTCCATGTGTGCCCCCAGTTCTTCCAGTCCTCGAAGTCGAGCACGGGGGGAGGCTGGTCCGCGATGCTGAAGGCGCTGTCGGTGCAGAGGGGGGGGTAGTGTTTCGATATAGTCGCATGGGAGGGTGTGAGGGCTCTCGGTAGCCCGAAATATACCGTTCGTGAAGCCAGTGTCGGCAATAGAGATGCGCATTTCTTGGGTCACGAGGAAGGAGAGACGTTCAGTCGAATATTAGAGCTCCGCTGAAGACATTGATCAACATGGACCACTTGTTGGTCGTTCGACTCCATTTCCGGTTTCTGGATGAAGGTACGAGCTCTTGAAGCGGAGGCTTGTCGTCGCCTTCTTCGGTAATTTATGTGGTTGTGAATGTGAAGGCGAGGCTACAGCTGTAGCTGTGATCGTGTCCCCATGCAAATCCGTGCGTGGCATTCGGGATGTGGTCGGACCATGATTACACAAGAGCCAGAGTGATATATACGAGCGTCCTGGTAAGCAGTTGAATTTGGATAGATGTTGTACCAGGAAACGTCGGTTTACTCACTATGGTTGCTTCTCCAAGACTGCAAACCGACCCTCATATTCGGGAATTGTGACCACTACAGGCCAAACGCAGCGAATTCTATGTAAGTGGTCCATAGCGGAGATTGCGGTATGGGGTCGTGAGAGCGCAAGCGCCCAGAGTACTAGAATGCATCTCACTTCGTATCCCAACTATGCACCTTCGTTCTTTATTGTCTCCCGGCGCTGCCCTCGTACTGGTTTCGTTGGCAGCTGTGACATCTGCTTCAGATGTTACTCGCTTGACCGCGCTTTCTTTTGAGAGTATCGTCCCCACAGAACCACTAATTCTTGTCAGATTCTGTACATGGTGCGCCGATCATTGTGATTGACGTTTGAATTTTAATGTTTAACCTCCAGCTTCTCTTTAGGAGCGGCCAGTGCAAGGCTCTGACACCGCACTATGAGCAGGCTGCGACTTCGTTGAAGGCCAGCAATATTAAGATCGCCGACGTCGATTGTTTGGAGGATGCGGATTTCTGCGAGGCGCACGAAGTCCAGAGCTACCCGTGCGTCTGCTTGACCTGTTCACAATTGATACCATTGTCTCACTACAACAGGACGCTGAAGGTATTCCGATATGGTTTGTGGGTCAGCGATTACACCGGACCCCACCAGGCTGATGGTATCATCAGCTACATGCTGGAGTAAGCCCACCGGTCTTGCCATGCATGGGTACTCGTGACCAACCGCTCATTGACACCCTTCCAGGAAATCCTTGCCTGCGGTCTCCGAAGTTACAGCCGCTAACCACCAAGAGTTCCAAGAACAAGCTGGTGATAGCACGAAAGTCGTGGTCATAGCCTATCTCACCTCCCCGACCGAAGCACCCGCAGACACATTCATCGCGGTGGCAGACAACCATCGTGACCATAACTATGTCTTTGGTCTGACCACCGATAACGACGCAATAGACGCGGCGGGCGTAACACCCCCTGCTATTGTGGCTTACCGTAGCTTCGACGATCCCATGACTGAATACCCCCTCCCCGTCTCGGACGCCACAGCCGCTGAATTGAAAGAATGGATATCCGACCTGTCCATCCCCCTCATCGACGAACTCCGCGCCGAAAACTACGCTACATACACCAACAGCCCGAAGCCCCTCGCCTACCTCTTCCTCAATCCCTCCGACGAAAGGAAGGACGCGCATATCGAAAGCATGCGGCCTATAGCGCAGAAGTACAAATCGGAAATCAACTTCGCGTGGATGGATGCCGTTCCAGTTGGGTTTGGCGATCACGCCGGGGCGTTGGATTTCGAGCACGCGGAATGCAGGGAGGTTACGTCCGAGTCCGCGGAGGACTGGCTGCAACAGCTCCTCGAAGGCGAGCTCCCCGAGCCGAAGAGTGCGCCGATCCCCGAGACGCAGGATGGGCTTGTGTTCACCCTGGTGGCCAAGCAATTCGACGAGGTTGTCTTCGATGACTCGAAGGACGTCTTCCTTGCGCTGTACACCACTCAGTACGCACAATTTCGTTTGCACTTTCTGATGCTCATGTTTCTTTCAGGTGTGAGGAGTGCGAGCGCATGAAGCTCGCTTGGGATGCCCTCGCCGAGGAGTACGCGCCCCTCAAGGATACGATCATCATGTACGTACTTTCTATATCTCGACGACCGCCAACTCACCAACTTCACCGACCTTGACTTAGCGCCAAGATGGATATGCAAGAGAACGACCTCCCGGTTTCGGCCCCCTTCGTTGTCAATGGGTTCCCCACCATCGTGTTCAAACCCGCGGGAACGCGCACATTTATCGACTACGATGAAGACCGCAGTCTTGAGGACTTCATCGTGTTCGTTGAGGTGTACACAGGAAATGGTGCTGACATCCCTGAAGTAGAGCCCGTCGTTCCTGAAGAAATAGAAGTTGCGCAGGTGCCGCTGGGTGCTTAGACCCGAGACACGGTGAGAGTGTTGATTGTAGTGATTGGCGGATCCGAGTGCGCCTCATCTTTGTTTATCTCTAAGTTATCTACCAGCCATTTCACGTCGCTCTTTATTTATAGTTGCTACGAGTCTGTATTTCATATGAGCCGCACATCCAGATATACCACACAAAAGTATACTCCGGACTTTCTGCATGCAAGTCTACTTTGCGTTCGTTGAGGACTACGCAGCAAATAGTCTCGAAGCTCTGACTCACAAAGTTGATCCCGTCATTCCCGAAGTCGCGCAGATGCCACTGGGTGGGGCCAGTGCTGAGGAGTGAGGGCATGGATTGTAGTCGTTAGTGACTCCGCATGAACAAGCGTACCCCGTTTTTTGTATTTCAGGGGTACAATTCGAGATGGTGTGAAATTGCTCTTACATATCTTATCTTATCTACAGCACTCACTCGAACATCCATCGTTACTACCAAGTTTACGTCCGTTATGTGTAACTACCACCATTCTGAAGTCCTCAACCCCCCGAACAGTCTGGCGAACTGCACAACGAGCCGCTGGGGCATTCTCGAAGCTCCAGCTTACCACACCCCCTCAAATGCAACGAGGAGGGTAGCCGTTGAACGCATGTAATGTGGGCATGTGGGCACCACATCAACATCCGTAGCCCTCTTCTCCAATACCTGCCTTAATCGACATACATGAGCCTTAGCAAAGAAAAGTTCTACGCACATCGTACCATCCAGGAGTACGCGGAGGCGATACGATGGATCATCTCCGACTTGGGGCACAGTTGGGCGACAAGAGTTTGTCGTAGGACGGCATACGACGCTAGGTAAGTTATCATCCGCCCCGTGCTGCTCGTACTCAAGTTTCTGTAACTCTATAGTTGCCCGCCCTCTCTGTGTTTGCGTTGCTGGGAGAGGCTCTTCGGGCCCCATGGCTGGCTCGCCAAGGCACTCACCTCACCGTCGTACCGCAAGTTAAGGCGAAAGTGTGAATACCAGCAGAGTTTCCAGGAGCTCGAAGGCGCTGACAGGGACGGCTGCCATTGGTGTAGCTTTGTCCTCCGCGAATACCATAACGTGCCACAAGCGGAAACTACCAACATCTCCCAACCCATCAAAATCAAAGTAGAGATCTGGAAGCGAGTGAATATGAATGGCCACCTGCAGTCGCTGAGATTGACTTTCGCCGAAGAGGAACGTCTGGGGTATTTCTTCTACGCTGAGCACGGTATGTTCTGAGACGTTTCCGTCATCAGCTCTGGCTGACGTTGTATGTTCGCAGATGACCCCGCAGCTAGTTTCATCTTTGCAAGAAGCGAAATCCACGACGTGAACTCGCCTCGGGCCCAATCACTGGGCAAGGAGGCCATCGAAAATTGCATACGCAATCACCCTGGTTGTCCACGACTGGCTGCGAATAACCCGCTGCTTCCCACTCGAGTCATTGATTGTCAGGATCCAGCGTATCCGAAGCTGGTCGAAACTGACGGCCGCCACGAGCAGTACATCGCCCTAAGCTACGTTTGGGGAGAACCGCAACCACATAGTACGACTACGGACAATCTTGCAAGTTATCTCAACGGTATTGACGCCCAAAGTCTTCCCAAGACCATCTGCGACGCCATAGCCACGGTTCATGCATTCGGCATGCGATACCTCTGGACAGACACCTTGTGCATCATACAAAATTCCGATAAGGACCAGATTCGCGAGCTGCGTCACATGGCACGAATTTATGCGTCAGCCTATTTCACCATCGTCGCTGGGAGTGCTCGAAAAGTCAGCGAGGGATTCTTACACTCGCGCTCACCGCCATCGCGGGGTGATCCTTCCTTCAAGATCTCTTGTCCTACTCACGCCAAGGCATTTGGGACGTTCTCCCTGGGGCGCGATATCAACTATTATCGTCAAGAACTCCAGGAGTTTTCGACTGACGCTGATCCCGTTCACAGTCGTGGCTGGTGCTTGCAGGAAATTTTCCTCTCGCAGAGAACTCTGGTTTACACATCACGGACTCTGCAATATCATTGTCAGACAGAGGTGATCAACATTGGCCGCTCGGTCTACCAATCCGATCGTTTCTCCGCCACACCCAAATACTGGAGCCTATCGTATCTTGCTGAGCATGACTGGGAGACGCCATTGACCCCAGGGCCGATGCTTGTGGGATCACCGTGGGAGAGATATGCGTCTGGCGTGCTTGAAGGCTGGGCGAAGGTCCTCCGGGAGTACACACGGCGCTCAGTCACCGTGTCCACGGACAAATTCCATGCAATTTCGGCTATCGCAGAGCGCTTCCACCAGTTCCGAAAGAGCCATTACTTAGCGGGATTATGGGAGGACACGCTCCTCTTAGACCTCCTCTGGACAACCGTCACTGACGTGGCATCGAACCGCCCCAAGGACTACAGGGCACCCTCGTGGTCCTGGGCAGCACTCAATAATGAAGTTAAATTGTACGCGATGCTACATTTCAGGGATGTACAGTTCTGCGGTGGTGCGAGATGTGAGGTGGAGCTGAAGACTACGGCGCTTCCCTTTGGGGAGGTGGTGTCGGGGGAGGTGATCTTGCAGGCGTCGATGTTGCCAGTCGTTTTAGGGAACACTATTTCTGATTACGGTGCTCTCAAGCTGGAGCTCTACACAATATGGCCACAGTGCGTTTATACCCCAAAGTTTCGGCGTATTGATTGTTTACTAGTATTCAACCGTTGCAGGACGACGCCGACGACGTACACGCCGATTGGAGACGCGATACTTGATGATTACGAAGACGCAGGACTCGTCGATATATGGGCCGTTCCGATATTCTTCAGCCCTAAGAGGGATCTGGTGGAGGGCTTGCTCCTCGTACCTGTAAGCCCGAGCAACACCGCAGGTGTGACGTATCGACGGATAGGACGATGGTCGGTCCCTCAGTATTTTCCAGAGGATCCGGAACGTGGGTATGCCTATCCGTCGTGCATTCACGATGCTCCGCTTGTCGAGATTGTGATTATCTAGCGAACCTCGGGAGCTTTGTGTTCGGTGCATTCTTGGACTACGAGGAGAGAGTCGTGAAAAGACGGTCGTCAGCGTTTCGTTTGTGTTCCCAAGCGTCATTTGAGACATAGAGAGAAGGGGATGGCCGTATTCAGATCGCCAGTGTCGGATGAGGGGATGTGTGTGTGGGGGGGGGGGCGGCACGAGGAATGGATGCCAGGTGTCAATCTCACCAACTTTTCGAATCAAAAAGCGACCGTCATAACTTTTCAGCCGGCCTATCAACGCCTGGGTCGGCTCGGTGTCCATCGTGCCGGCCTTTCGTACCTCTTCACCCTGTGCTAGCACTCCGTGTTGGAGCGCAATCCGCGATGTCGAAGATGATAAATGAGTCGGGGGCATGACTACTACACGATCTTTCGAATTCCTCCCCCCTCCTCTTCGCTGGCGCTCCCACTTTACCTCTTTGGTAGGTCGGACTCGCGGGGATAGGGTGAGATTCCGCAGGACCATGTATCAGCAACTCGTTCAGCTAGTATTCTCCAACCCACGGATTAGAAACACATGGTTCCTATAATGGGGAAGCTCTCCACCATTCCAGTGGAAGTCAGGCCGTGATAGGAACGCAAACGACGTGCTACGCGACGACACAAGACGCTAGATATGCCCGACACTGGTACTGAATAGTGGTTGTTTGTCTTGACTGGTCGATAAGTTTCGTCTGACGTTCTCAAGAAGCAAGAAATGAGTGCCCTCAGGAGGTATGTCATGCGCGTATTTCACCCGAGCTTCTGAGTTTCCGCTGATTCGTCGATCATCACTGAATCCCTCCTAAAAGCCTTAACCGAGCGTTCCACTGATGTATCACGATCATAGAACCCCCGACAGATGTCAAAATTAGACATCCGTTGATGGAGGAGCGGAGATGGGGAGGAGATACTATCTTTGCCGTTCGGCCTCGCAAGCACACTTCACGCCTCCATCGACTTCAAACTGGTGGGCGGATAGAGAACCAACCGTGCGTACACCCAAATAATTTAGGCATCGAACACGGCCGAAGGACACGACGCTCGACACGGAGAGCGGTGACCATCCCTTGTTCACGCGACATCGTGAAAATGTTACGAGTACCACGGAAGGATGTTTTTGCAGCAATGATCATGCAAAAGATCGGCCGTTTCAGATTGGGGTGAATCGCTAACACACACTGAAGGTCTCTTAATCTCTGATGCATCTAGGAGTGTACCCATAGTGGGTTGCACGCCGATGTCAATATATACTACACGAAGGTGCGCACCTCGTCCACACCTGCGCCATGAGTAGGCTCTCTGGGGAAAACGTCAACATCATGCTCTAGATTTATATCACAGCTCGAGCGAAGGTGTTCAACGGTGAGCCGTTTATATTTCGATGAACTTCGACGCAATCTTTCCTCAGGTTCTAATACGCATGTTCTCAGACCGCAAGGGATGCTAGGAGATATATAGCTGTAAACCACTTCCCTTTGACAGAAAACACGTTTTAGGATGCACTATCACCGGGGCAGTAGAGTCTCGAATACTCCGTCAAGTGTATGTTCAGCTTCTTTACCATTCAAAGTCGGCTGAACCATACAACACATCTTCGATCACATAGATAGGTACCCGCCTGTCGTTTACATTGATATGGACATTCACAGGACGTGATCAATCTTCAGCCTCGACCTCTATAGCCAGACACGATGGCAAGCCTATCACAACTCACCAGCTCGTTCGATCTCGTTCAAGCGATAGCTTCTCCGGCTTTTACGTAGACAGCCTGTCGGCCACCGGCCTATGGCTGAAGGAATAACTCAATTCATGGGTCACAAGGCTGATGAACGATTCGGCGGTGCGTAATAGTAAGAGAAATCGCTGCGTCGAATTCCGCTGAATATTCCTAATAACGGTAGAAGAGCACAAGTGAACTCCGCTGCAGCGTATAAATACAAGCCTCATTCAACCTGGAGAACCCAGTAGCTATACGAACAGTAGCTCTTCTACCCGCTTCAATTCGACTTCTTGCAACGACAAAGGACTATGCGCTTCATCGCATCTACCCTCGTCGCCATCGGCATGTGCGCGACTGTATTCCAGCCTGCCGTTGCAGTGAACCCCGGGAACAACTCTCTCCACATCAACGCTACCGACAACTTCGAAGTCGCCGTCTTGAAAGAATGTATGTGTACAACGTCGTCACTTTGAAGCCTAATCGGTGACTCACTCAGTGCCTATTTCTATCTCTATTCCTAGTCGGCCAAGATGTTTTCGACGGTCTCGCGTCGGATTCGTGCAACGTCTGGAACTGTCTTGGCGAAGTCGCGACGCTGACGCCCTGCCTCTTGAAATGCGTAATCGAGGGCAGTGTTACTTGCGTTATCGGCTGCGTAGGTGCAACCAACGTACGTCCAATGCTGATTTCGCCACACCACACCACACCACACCACACCACCTCCCCTCCCCTCCCCCATTCTCATTTTAAGCTCTACTTACTGCACAACGGCTAACTGGACTCACGGTACACCCGCGCGGACTTACAGATCTGCCCGTGCATCAACTGCTTCCCGAAGAAGATCGTCGATATGCTGCACAAGGTTGGGATCTGTGGTTGAGTCAGGTAAGTACGACACGCCCACTGCCGTCAACGTCGGCTGAATCATGAGTAATGAGTAGGGATAAGGCGGGGTGGTGCGTGGAAGCATTAGTATATGGGTATTATGTAGTGTGGTGGTGTATGTATGCGGTCAGCCGGTGTGGCGACAAGTATGTGCGATGGTATGTGATGTATGATGATACGATTTTATCCCGGGATTGAGAGACGATGCACATGAGTGGCTGGCACATTCAACCGATGGAAACAAAGTAGTAACTACCCTGGTTGAGGTTTGTCGGAGAGAAGTTTGAGTAGGCTTCCGATCCGCGTTTCCTTTGATCTATTATTCAGTTCGTGAAAGGGTCTCTTCGAAGCGATTTCAGAAATTTCGCCGTTCGTAAATTTGTCAAGAAGTACCTCATGACCCGTAGGACGGAACACTGCTGAAATACCCACCCGGAGTCCAGTTTGTAGTGTGAATCGGTGTGCTGCATACTGGTATCAGTTACATCGTAGATAAAGAGCAAAGGGAACGAATATTCAACAGATATCTAGATCTCAACGTTCAACACCCAGGCGGATCTGCCCACCCTCTGCTCCTGCAGGAACAACGGGGGCCAGGCTATTCGCCGCATGCTCCTCGACGAACGCAACAAAGTCCTCGAGGGTGCGCGGGCGCGCGTAGTCGATGAACGTGCGGGTGCCCGCGCGCTTGAACTTGATGGTGGGGAACCCAGCGACGCGGAAGGGGGCCGACGCCGGGAGCTCGTTCGCAGCCATTTCCATCTTGGCGCTTTGAATCAAATCAAGGGACTTCAGCAGGCGGTCTGGCAGGCATAGGCATAGTGATAGACGACAAGTACGTACATGGTGATCCTATCCGTGAGGGCGGCGTACTTCGCGCCGAGGGCATCCCAGGCGGCGTGCATGCGCTTGCAGTGCCCACACCTAAGGAGACCATCAGCATTGGGGGAAAAAAACAGCGCGGAGGAAGCGGTGTACCAAGTGGTGTAAAGCGCAAGGAAGACATCCTTCGAGTCATCGAAGACGATCTCGTCGAATTGCTGGCCGACCAGGGTGAACACGGGCCCGTCCTGCGCCTCGGGGATCGGCGCGCTCTTCAGTGGCGGGTCGAGCTGGCCTTCGAGCAGTTGCCGCACCCAATCCTCCACCGACGCGGGTGTAATGTCCACGCGTTGATCGAGCGCGTATGTCCGCTGCTGCCTGCCGAAGTCTTGGATAACGAACGCAGGCCATTTCGCGTCCTTCAGATTCAGCGCTCTGGCGTGTTCGCGGAACTCGACGGCGTCGATCCACACGAAGTTCACTCTCGACCTGTACTTCCGCGCTACAGGCCGCATCGCTTCGAGGCGCGCGTCTTTCTGTGGGTCAGAGGGATCGAGGAAGAGGGAGGCGAGGTACTTCGGGCTGATGGCGTAGCTGTGGTAGTTTTCGGCGCCGAGTTCGGCGATGAGGGGCACGGAGAGGCCGGTGATCCATTCTTCCAGTTCGGCGGCTGTGGCGCGCGAGACGGGGAGGGGGCATGGGGTCTTGGGGTCGTCGAAGCTGCGGTACGCTACGATAGCAGGGGGTGTGACGCCCGCGGCGGCGATGGCGTCGTCGTCGGTGGAGAGACCGAAGAGATAGCTGCTGTCGCGGAGTTTCTGTGCAACCGCGCCGAACGCGTCTGCAGGGGGTCCAGTCGGGGAGGAGAGATATGCGATGGCGACGGCCTTCTTGTTATGAGCGGCTTGCTGCTGGAACTCTGCGTGGTTCGCGGCTGTGATCTCGGAGACTGCAGGCAAGGATTGGCTGGCGTGTCGGTGAAGAGAATAGTCAGTCACGATTGTCCATGACTGGCCAGCCAGAGGCTTACTCGAGCATGTAGCTGAAGATACCATCAGCCTGGCGTGGGCCCATGTTGGGAGCCATGTCGGAAGATTTTCAGTGTCCTGTTATAGCCATGAATGCGAGTGAGAGGACAGCACCAACGCTGGATGGTAAGCTAAGGAGACGCACGGGTAGCCTCTGGCTTGATGTACCTCGCAGAGATCGGGTTCCTCCACACAGTCAACATCGGCGATCTTGATATTATAGGCCTTCAGCAGCGTCGCGGCCTGCTCGTAGTGCGGTGTCAGAGCCTTGCAGTGGCTGCTCCTGAGAGAAGGTGGGTGTTACACGTAAACGTTAAAACTCAAAAGTCAATCACAATGATCGGCGCACCACGGGGTACAGAATCTAAGGAGAATGAGGGATTCTGAGGGGACGACGGTGTCAAAAGAAGAGGCGGTCAAGCTGATGATATCTGAGGCTGATGAAGCAACGGCCAACGAAACCACCACAAGGGCAGTGCCGGGAGACACTAGAGAACGAGGGTGCATGGTTGTAGGCTTGTAGCAGGATGAAGTCAGGAAAACATAGACTATTGGTACGGGCGTTCCCTTGGGAACACCCGCTCCGTACTCCTGGTGGTAGGCACGAACCAAGCACGAGTTGGTGAACAAGACGTAACATTGCGGTTGTATGAGGCTTTCCAGACGGGGGATGCCAATGACTCACGACTCCAGCAGGGCGCTTACACAGCACCATGGTCATCGAGGCCAGGAACTAGCGGATCAGCACATTCTCGAGCAACAGTAAAACTACAGCAACGCAGACGACTCGAAGATACAGACGCTCTTCTGGATCGACGGTTGCAGTGATACGGTAAATGCTCACTGCACTAGTGTGTCTACCTTTTTCTCGGTCTCCCTGTACGGTTGTCCGTCTGGTCTGTCACAGGGAAAGCAATGGTCAGTGACCCTCTCAGCACGGTTCTTTCTTTCCCGTCGTCTTCCTGGCCTTTCGTTTCTCCAAGTTGTTTGCCTTTCGTCGCCCTCTCTGCAGTCCTGTCTCAATCTACGCGATGCATCTCGATCGCGTCGCGTCACCCTCCCCAACCTCCTTTTCCAGTTTTCGAGTATCGCGCGCTGGTATCTAGGTATATCTCTCCCTTCCAGCTTACTGCAAGGCATAGCATGATAAACCAAGAGTCAAGAATGGCTCGAAACTCTACGAGGCCCGCGTACCAAGGAGCGCCGGAAACTGGAAGCGCTCAGAGATATCATAGATCCTCTCATTCGTGCTGAGTACCAAACCCCCAGGCCAAAGAAGCAGTGTTTTGACATCGGGTCTGATCGTGGTGCGAGATGGGACGCCTTAAGGCTTAGTGCGTGGTACCATATTCAATGTTCTTATAAGCCTGCATTGACTCGTCTCAGAACAGGTCTTTCCTCCAGCCACTCTCGGCGCTAAACATATTATTCGCTCCATCCTGCAATCCTGACTTAACCGCTGGGTCTTAACCATGGGCACGTTATCGCAGCATGATGCTATCGCTGCTCAAGGTACTGCGACCTTAAGATATCATGAAGATACCATTCAGAGAGACGGAAGCACTGCTCTGCAAGACGCTTTTGGTGGCCCTGTTGAGCAAGACGATGTCTTCGTTCAATGGCTCGAGATGTACTCCAATTGGGACATCTATGCGGTGCGCATTCACTTATGATCTCTGGAACTCAGCACTGATGTATTACTTAGGCGGTGAGACTCCATGTCTTCAACTCGCAATTGAAACTCACATCGATGTTGATTTACACCCCCGGCAAACATCTAGTGAGCCCGCTATCAATTTCTATTGTATACACCGCTCTGATAGGTCTTTCAAACAGGTATGATATGTACATATGGGAGTATGTCCAAAACTGCCCCTTCCACCTCTTTGATACAAGACGACAACGGAACGTTACTCGCTGTCAGCTCAAGGATGATATTTCCGCCACCCTTAGGGCCTGGCTCGAAGCCCCCTTGAGCTGTAGCGAAATCATGGACGTCTTATTAGAAACGGAGAAGCAATCATCACGGGGCTTGTATGACTCGGAATGGCAGAAGGAAGCATCGTCCAAAGATATCGAGCGATCGAAGGAATTACTCCGTCCATATATTTCTGCGGCGATGCTGAAGAACCCGATGGCCGATGGCCCAACCGCCTTCGTATTGGGCGTCATTGACGAGCTGCGACAATTCAACTTGTCGTTGTTCCCCCCAACTAGGAGCCAGCGAGGCCATCACAGCCACTCGCGCTTTCGGCGCTATTCCATCAAGCACCGCGTGCTTCACGAGCTAATCGCACAGAAGCGCACGCAGACGCCAACACCGACCATCCGGGAGGTGCGAGAGCAGATCGCGCTGTTCGGCCAGTACGCCATCTTGTCGCACCGCTGGTCCCAGAATGGCCAGGAACTATCCTTCGCGGATGTGCTCGCCGGGTTATCCGATCGAGTTGTGCAGGAAAAGGAGGGATATAAGAAGTTGATGGGGTTTTGCACGGCCGTCAAGTCTATCTACGGGTGCCGCTACGTCTGGATGGACAGTGTGTGCATCAGCGAAGACGACCGGAGTGCCTCAATCCCCCGTATGTTCAGCTGGTATCGCTATGCGTACGTTTGCTTGATCTACTTCGCCACTTCCCCGAAAGTGGCTGAGGATCCGTGGTCCACCAGAGGCTGGACCCTCCAGGAATTTCTCGCAGCACGCAGATTCAGGTGTTTCAAAAACGACTGGTCGCCCGTGATCCTCACACAAAGAAAGTTCCACGCGAACCGCGAAGTAGAGAGAACCGTCGACGATGTGTACAAGAGGCTGCAATCCGTCTCGGGTGAGCTGACTCACATTTACTATTCATGCGGATGCAGAGGGGGGATTTACCTCCATACAAACGAATGAATGAATAAATAGGGCATCTGAACTGGCTTGGGTACACACCGGGGGTCGCCGAGGTCTACCCGCTGTTCAAGGCGATGCGCAACCGGGAGACTACGGTGCCGGAGGACATGGTGTACGCGCTCCTGGCGGCGCTGGACAGCGACTGTGGCGTGGAGTACGGCGAGGGCTTTGACCGGGCCTTCTACCGCCTGCAGGCCGCATGCCTCGCCCGGGGCGGCGAGCGGCGGCTCCTCCTGTGGGACCCGAGCGCCAGCACAAGCCCCAGGCCGTCCCCGTACAACTCGATGCTCGCGGGGGACTTCACGATGTTCGTCCCCCGGCCCGGCGACGACCAGTTCAGGGCGCCGGTTGAGCTGCCGGACGCGTCCATATCCTTTGATGCGCACGGGGCGATGCGCGTGATGGTCACCCTCCACTGGCCGCCGTCTCCCGGTCTGTGGAGAGCTGTTACATTTCCGCTCAATTACGTCACGGGCACTGTGTTTGCGCTGCTTCAGACAGACTCCCATGGGGAAGACGGATATGGTGTGTTGTTGCGGCCTGGCCCTCCCCCCAAAACCGAGAGTCTCACGAATAATGTGCCGGGCGGAGAAGGCCCTGACAGTGACGGGCAGTTTTGGAGGAAAAAGAGAGTGGTGTACAAGCGGATTCAGTATTTTGAATGCAAGCTCTCCGACATAATACCAGCGTATAGCTCGGCGGAGCCGGAATGGGTGTACATCAGGTAGACGAATAAGAATAAGATTGTAGTTGGGTATGAAATCGAGTTTCTTCGTGGGTTACATTCGAGCGAGGGATAGTTGACGTTGAGCATCTATTTAAGTAATTGATCGTGAAAACATCCTGCCACGCACCTTCTCTCGGCGCTCTACCAAGTAAACGTGTGATGTGCATGTTAGTGCTCTATATATCTTCTATATTCTACTCAACGATACTTTGAAGTATGGTTTTAGTGGTGTTCGCGCACACGATCCAAAAGGTGGCACGAAACTCAGAAATCTCGATATCCCGTCCCCGCATAAGCTGCTGCACACTGTTTCGCCCCTCGAAGAACCCCCACCCCATGCCCATGTTATCGTGCTAACGCGTCCCCACTGTTTCTGATCAAACGAACTCACCATTTGTGACAACCTGCGCGCTGTCTGGGGGTGAACCAGGCGAGTTGGGGTACTGAATGGGGGCCCTATTATGTGCTGGTCTCGCCTCATGGAATACCGTCCAGTTTCTACAAACGTGAGTCAAGTGCTTTGCCCTTCGTCCCGGTCTACTGAGTATTCACCTCTACTCGCGCAGGTCACACCCTATGATATCAAGCCTGTTTCACAGGGCGTTGATGTTTGTGTCTGCGTACGCTAGTAGACGCCAAGTCAAGGAATGATTTGGTGCGCCCACGGCGATTCTATAGAGCTCGAGCTCTCGTCGGGCCGTACGGTTCTTTTCGTCTCGTTTTCACCCCCACTCACGCCCGTTTTCGTTTTGGTGCGTCAGATATGTAGGGATATATAAGGTGACATCCCAAGCGGCAACTTATTGCACCTTTCTCAGCCAGCTGAATCGTGATTATTGCAATGAGGAAGTCCCACTCCAGCAAGTGTCGTGACCGTGTCAGGAACTAGGACGATGCTTATGTGCAGCTGCACCGCTGGCTCGCAGTTATCTCATCCTTCCCTGGACAGCTGTTGCCTGGAGCCTCAGGAAAACCCGCGCAAATATGGCATCGAGGTTCCGAGCGTTCACTAATAAGGCGCTGAGAGTCATCACTGACGTCCTCCTCCTCCTAAACGCCTCACTCGACGTTCCCCTGATTTATCATTATCACAGACATAGAACACCCGGAAAGGGCAAGCCTGAACGTCCGCGATGAAGGGGCGGCGACGACGGGAGATACACTCTGTGCCGTTCGGCCCACTCCTCAGCAACACACGCCCTCGTTGTAAGGGGACACTCCTATTTTCCCCTTTTCCCCCTGTCCTGTCCCCTTCCTCCTCGTCCCTTTCCTCTTTCTTTCTTTCCCTTTCCTTTCCTTCCGTCCCCTTTCCTTTCCGCTTCCCTTCCGTTCACCCCCTTCGCATCCGAGCCTCGTCCGGTGACTCCGAAGTCTTCCCGCACTTCGGACGCCTCGGACTCGCTCGGACTCGCTCGGACTCATAGATACACTTCGGGGCTCGTCCAGGCTACCTCCATCTTCCTTTCCCACTTCGTTATTCCTTGTCCCCACTCCCCCAGGTCGCTGGCACGGCTCCTGTACATTCCCCTTCCACTTCATTATCACATGCCCCCTCGTACCTTGTGATATTCGTTCGTACCTGTGGCTGGTGTACTGTACAGTTACCCTTCATTCCTCCCACGCTACTACAGTATATACTTCGCTTCCTGGCATGGAGAATCCCCATCCTGTTCTCTTTGGATTCTCCCTCTGCTAGGTGAGCAGCTCTCTCATGTATTGTAGTTAGTCTTATTCATTTCTTTGGATTCTCCCTCTGCTAGGCCTGCGCTGTCGGCCATCTTGAGGTTGCCCTTACACTCGTGGATGGGCAGGTGCCCGTGGCCAAGGGGTCTAATCGTCGCGCGCAACGACTACCGCGCCCTATATCATACGCATCATACGCAGGGGCGATTCCAGCCTACCTCTTGAGGCCCCCAATCCTCAGCCATCCCCGCGACGCGACGAAAGTGTTGCGGGCACCGCGGAAGCGGTATGCAGTATTTGGCAGCAGGATCGCCTGTCAGCTCGACCATCCACATCGCGGGGGCTCAGTGCTCATGCTGGTATACCCTGCTACTTCCCCAAATCTTCGATGCATGGGCGAGCGCCTCCCACCCACGACGGCGGTGATACACCGAGCCTCTTCATACTGCATACTGCATACTGCATACTGCATTTGCATCCACATAGGTACGTATCTCGTCGGCCATGACACCTGCTTCGTGTTCAGGCTCTACTCTATGAGAAAAGTGACAAACATACTCTAGATGTATATCACTGCCTGAACAAAAAACAAAAAAGACGACTCGAAGCTATTCGACGGTTCGTTCTTTATGTTCTATGTTCTGATGACCTTCGCCTTCGCCTTCGCCGCCCGTCCAGCCTTCTCCTCGTGCTCTCCATCACATGCTATCGAGCCACGAGGGACATCTGCGGGCCCTCCTGCTAAACCTAAACGCACTGGTCTGGGTACACAAGGCATGCTTTAGGGCGTGCTATTCGCGGGCCAAAGTCTCGAATCCTGCGCCCCATCGTACGTCCAGCTTCTTCACCATTCCGAAGTCGGCTAAACTAAACCGTAAACTGTTGCGCATGCACCTCCACATGACCATGACCATCAGGACATGAGTCAGACACGCAGTCCGCAGTAGAACTTCATAGAAGTATCTTACTAATGACGTGAGTCATACCGACTCATACCAAGTCATACTGACTAGGTATTGACTGCGCATCTATTTATATCTTAGGTAGATAGTAGTATATAAGGAGCCTGTATCCGTCTACAATCTACCAAGTGCTCTACCAGAGAACTTACCTAAGTGTGTGCATCAAGACTACCTAGCTACAAGTAGTACTAGTTTTATAACCAGTGAGTAGACACTAGTCTTTCACTCAGCGCACACTCGTCCTCCCCGTTAGGGTTGATGGACAAATGCTCGCTCAACAGGTTATGGGCCCTGGAGACGCCCATTGGTGGACCCTGCACTCCTAGGAAACTAGCGGCAGGTACACACCGGTGGTGACTATGTCAGCCATAACCTAACCCTGGGTATAAGCTAGCATGGCGTTGCTATTAATGCCGCCTATATGCTCGCACCCCAGATCTCTTGATGAGATCTGAAGGGGTTAAAGCCACCTGGTGCAATGTGTTTCAGCTTGACGCGTTACACAACTCACCCCCGGAATAGCTATTTATTTATTTATGCTATATCCGCGGAAAAAGGGACTTTTGTTGAGAGCTTCTTTCGATTGCTCTCTATGGATCGAAGTTCAGTTCGCTGACATGTTTTTCCGTTCGCAGGCTTACCAACCTCAAACCGAACAAACAATGTCGAACCAAACTGAGAACCATACCCAGACCCTTAAGGTCTTGACCGGTTCCAACTGGAACGCCTGGGAGGGCCCCATGACTGCATTCCTGAAGTCTAAAGGACTTTGGATGTATGTCGATGGAAGCTACCCGCTTCCTTCCCCAAAGGACGCTTCCTCTTCCACCGCAGATGAAGTAAAACTCATCCGCGAATGGAAAAAGGAAGACGGCATGGCCCTCGGCTATATTACTTTATATATAGCCGTGAATCTCAATACCCATGTGAAGGACACTTCCAAGGAAACTTGGAAGAGTCTCAAGGACACGTACGCAGGCACTAATACTGCCGCTGCGTTTGAATGGTTGAAGCAGATCATGAATTTCAAGATCAGCTCCCATTCAGCCCCACATGCGGATATTGCTAAGTTTCAGACCGCACAGGCAAAACTAAAGGAGTTGAATCAACCCATATCGAGTCAACTCCTCGCCCTGATCATGCTCTCGGCTCTGCCCAAAGAGTATGAATCAGTTGCCCAGGCCCAGATTAACAAGAAATTGGAAAATCTGGACCTCGATGAACTCATTGCGTACATCGAAGCCGAATGGCAGCGCAGACAGCTGAACAAACTGCAGCAGCCAAGGCAGGGCAACGCGAATAAACTTTCTGCTGTAAAAGGAAAAGGCAAAGCACCTCAATTCCAGCAGCAGAAACAGCAAGGCAACAAAAATGCCGAGGCTGGCCCCTCTAAGCTTCCGCAGTCTGATGGACAGCAGAAGAAGAGGAAGCGTGTTCGCAAGGGCACCAAAAGTCAAGGACATACGCATGCTCACGCTGCTATTCCTGACTTGCCTAGCGGTGGATTCGCCCAGATGCTCAATATGAGCAGGCTTCCAATAGTCGAGGATCAGAGGCAATTCCCACCTCTCTCGACTGATCCAGCTCGCCGCTTGATCAATAGGATCGTGGCACCTCAACCGCAACAATGGTATGAAAGAACCACACCTAGTGCGGGTTCATCAAACCAGTCGGTCCCCCAATTCGAATTCCGAGTTGGTACTCCACCACGTGAACTGGTTGGACTAAACGGACCTGAGTTGACAGCTGATAAACGCCCGTCCGTCTTGATCTCCGGAAGTACAGCAAAAGCTGTTAAACTTGCCAGACTTCACCAGATTCCTAAGCCGAAGTTTTTCAACAATAGGCATAAGGAAGAAACACCCCAAAAGTATCAAGGCACTAACAAGCCTACATACCGAGGTGGTGATTACGAGACGCACCACAAGACGAGACAACTTCTCGACTTGATGCCTGGGATTCCCCAGAGTGCGGAACGTATCAGAAGACTGGAAAAGATAGCCGGAAAGCTTCCGGAACTATCCAACTCCGACATGGTAGAGAAATCTTCTCCCAAAATTGTCGAGATTCCAGATACTCCTTCTGATGGTGAAGATGAAGAGATGGAGACCACGCCTAGAAAACGGCATCGGTCCGCCACTCCCTACCCTGAACAGGATGTGGAGATGGAATCCATCTTTGGCGACTCGAAAGAACCGAGTCCAGAACCTAACTTCTTGGATGTTGCACTCCAAGAAGAAGACAGGTACGAAACCCTTAACCAGCTCTTTCCATATTCGGAAGACGTTCTAATGAAACTTTTACTCCAGTGCTCCCTTCTATTACGAAGAGCCCGCCGAAGGCCCCGCGCCTATGT